GGCAGAGGCTAGGACAGAAGCAAACCCTTGGGGCCCCCCAGAGTCACTGCTGGTGACCTGTGTGCCAGGGTCAGATCCCCTTTGGTCCCTCTTCTCAGCAACACCCCCTTGCCCTGCCAAAGCCCTGTTGGGGACTCTTCAAATTCGCACCCTGTTCCCTCTTCCATAGACGCTCAAGGGATGCCCGGATGTGGTAGCTTTCCAGGAAAAACAAGGCCTGGGCTACAGTGGGGGCATTGGTGATGGCAGATGAGGGTGCTTGGTGTGGGTCCTGGGGTTGAGAGTGGGCATGGCTCCCAACCTCTGGCTCCCAGAACCCCGAAGCAGCAAGATAGTCAGCTGTGCCAGGCCAGGGGGTGGAGCAGGGCTTGGAGTCCTGTCTCTCCCAGAGTCCCCCACCCTAAACATGCTAGAAGGGGGAGGCCCAGCCTGCTGCTGCTGGCCTCAGGAGCCAGTGCGTGATCAAGCCCCTGCCAAGCACTTTTCCCCAGGGGCTGAGAGCACCGGACCTGATCCTGTATGTTGTCCATTGTACATATCCACATGCGTGTTAGACGGCTGGCGCGGCCATGTCTCCAGGAGAGGTTAATGCAATCCCGCAGGGTTGCTGTGGCTGTGCCCCCAATCATCCTGCCTGGCGAGCAGTGAAGCTGGGGTCCAAGCCAGAGTCTCTTCTGCAAGAGGAGGCCATGAGGCATCCGTGGGTCATGAGGGTGGGAAAGGTCCAGAGGGAAAGGAAAACCATGAGGTTTCTGGGACAGGGGAGGGAGCGGGGTCCTGGCTTTGTACCAGGCTGAACTCTGACCTCACTGGGCTTTATTAGCACCCTGATTGTGTACAATTGGCCTCACTCTGACCCTAATGAGTCCGTTACCTTCTCTCTTTAAGGAGACCATTGTGGCCTGCACACCCTGGGGATAGCACTGGCCAGGTTCAGACCCCCTGTGTACTGCAGGGGACCCCCCGACTCTGTGTTTCTCTGTTGCCCATATTCCCCAGCTATGCTGGCACCACTTAGATCCCACTGGGGTGCTTGGACTGGACTTAAAGGTGGACTTAGGCTGCTGGGCCAGGCCACTGATGCCGGAGCTGGGCAGATGGAGGGTCTGGCTTTGGGACTTAGCTCAGACTGCAGGACTGGGTGTGTTGGAGGGCTTCCTCCACAGCTGAGATGAGGTTGGAGATCGCCCAGCTATGCTGGGCTAGAGGCCCTGGCCAGATCTGGAGTTGCCTTCTCCTCTGCATGGCCCCAGGACCAGCTAATTTCTGAGCCCCACCAAGCAGACCTGGCTTCTACGGTCACTGTCCTGGGTATACTTTGTCTCCTGCAAATAGTCAGGTCTGGCTCTCTGGCACCAAGCGGATGTGCTCCTAACCAGGGGAAAGTCAAGCAGGAGACAGCCTGGATGGGTGCTGACAGGTTTGGGGCTCTTCTGAGATGACTGCTCAGGCTGGGCAGTAGTCCGGAAGGCTGGGCCAGGATGGAGGGTTCTGCCGCGTGTCAGGGGTGTGTGGCATCCTCTCTCAGGATTGCTGTACTCTGCCCTGAGCCACCGGTCAAGGAAATGGGCCAGGCGCTCTTCCCTGCCCCGCTGTGTGGTAACACTGTATGTAGGTGAGGGGGCCTGTAGCACCGTCCCCAGTAATGAGCAGTGTGTGCTAAGAGGTCTTCCAGCCAACCCAGACCCCTGAGTGAGTGCTTGCCATCTGCTGCCTCCAAGTTCCCTGCCTTGTCCCACGAAGAAAGCTGTTTGGTCGTCTGCCCAGAAACTAAAGCTGACCTCTCACTTGTGGCCCCTTGTTCAGTCAAGCCCGAGTCCTTCACTGAAAGCTCACTGAGTTTCCTTTTGAAGAAAGGAGGCTGGGAGTATGTGAGACAAGAGCTTGGTGTTCACACCCCTTTTCCCCGGGGACATGTAAATAGCCCTGGTTATGCCCCTGCCTGGGGGTGATTCCTGCCAGGGCTCCTGGGAGGTCTGTGTGGAAGCGGGTGGGCACCCTTGCCCACCAGAGCAATGTTCATCTCCCGTGCCCACAGCCAAGCCAGTGGCAGCTCATTCTTTTATCTGTAGCTGTTGTCTCTGACAGGGCCTGACGCTGGTGGGACCTGAGGCTGGAAGCCACCCAGCCCTGCCCTGCACATGCCTGGGCTGGAGCAGGAGCCAGGCTAGCCTTCTCAGGGAAGGTCAGCAGGGCCCCGGGGATGATGACACTGTCAGCCCGAGTCCTGGGAGCATGACAGGAACATTGGTCTCTACATTGGCTCTTCTGAGGGTAAATATGTGTTCCTGTGACCCATGTAGCCCAGCAGCCTCTGGTGCATTGTGAGATGGAAGGACCTCCCTGGGCCCTGAATACACCCTCGGTGGTGTGCAGGTGGCAGGAGCTATTGGCATCTCTACCACCCCTTTAGCCCCTCCTCCTGCCCCTCCATGCCAAGGCCTTAGGGGCATGGATCAGAGAGGGAACTCTGCTCCCCATGGGAGGAAACAATATGGATAGGGAAGGTTTCCTTGAAAGTGAAGCAGAAGGGAATGGATGCAACGTTCCCAGTGAAGAGGCCCAAGTCCTGGGGTCCGGGGCAGGTGGAGCAAGAGCAATGCCCAGGCAGGCCTCACAGTCACCTGCACTGGGCTTCCCACACACCTTCATGCACCCATCAGGTGCTCAGGTTGGACAAAAGGCTCAGGTTGACAGTGAGCCCAGCCATCCATGAGACCCTCAAGTCGCCTGTCTTCTGGAAAGCCTTGGAAATCTAGTGCAAATCAGCAGAAGCAGGGAAGGCTGTTCCAGAGGGTGGCACTGGTGATAGGGACACCTTGGTATAGGAGAATCCTTAGTACGACGCACATCTCCAAGCTACCAGACCCTGGAGCATGGCATTGGACTGTCCATGGAGAGTGAGATCCAGGACCAGCTCGGGGAGCCATCTCCAGGAAAGAAGGACTTCCTGGTCTTGTGGGTACCACCTGGGCCCTCCTGGAGCTGGGCATCAGGAGTGAGAGCAGGAAGCAGCCTGGGTGCCACGGGAACCCAAGAGTGACTCTGAGCTGCAAAATGGGGCGACAGGGTGACAGGGCCTTGAGCAAGATCTGGGTCTTGTCTCCTTGGCTGGTGTGACTTGGAGGGCCAGGGTGCTCACAGATGCCCACTTGGTGTTTATTCCCCAGACTCAGTGATTGTTGGCATGGGGAAGGGTGCAGCAGGAGCAAGGTTGTTCTCTGTCCAAATGACTGAGGCTCAGCTTCGGGTGAAGTAAACAGAACAGAAAGTTCTTTGACTCATGACAAGTAGGAAGATCAGCAGGATGGTCCAGCTTGAGCACACCTGGAGCCAGGAGCCGACATGACGCAGATCGGGGCTGACTCACACTCTCCATGTGTGTCTGACTTGCTCGCAATGGTGCTTTCACGCTCAGCTGGGCTGCTATTTTGCTGACTTGGTTCTCAGGCTGCCTCCCTAGTGAGTTACTCACTTGGGTCAGAGCAGAAGCTGAACCATCACAGTCCAGGCAGGAGGGGATGGGCTGCAGCTGCCCCTGCTGTAGCCTAGAAGGAAGTGGGGGAGATGCACACTCTGGCAAGCGGGGCAGCCCCACTCTCTGCCCTCCAGCTGGGTTCTGGACAAGAGCAGGTGGGACTGGTGCCTCCTGGTAAGGGCAATCGGGGTCCTGAGTGTTCCCCTACCAAGCCATACTCTCTTAACCACCAAGTTGCTGTGACCGACCTGGGCTTTGGTGGTGCCACCCTGGGCTGCCTTCTCTGTGCATGGTAGGTCATGATGTGTAAGCTCCTGTGGGTGAGGGGAAGGGGAGGAATGATTTAGCAACCCATGCTTTACCACACACACACACTCACACACACGAAAAAAATAGGTGCTGGGACAGAACAGGAGCTGACTAGGCACACGTGGGATGAATGGATGCAATGATCAATCAGAAGCTAACAACTCTGGTTGGCACTCACTGCTCAAGCAGTGTCAGCAGGATACATGGGGGTGTACACACATACCTGGTACTGAGGGAGGAGGGAGGTATCCACCTGGAGCCAGGTGCCCTCCTCTCCCCGAGTGGCCAGCCCTTTGGCCTTTGGCCTTTGGCCTTGTACCTCCATCTAGCTATTTTTGTGAGACTTCCTTGGGGATTGTGGTGGAGATAAGAGCGTAGGATTCTTAGCCCACAAAAGTTAGTCTCTCTGGGCCGTGGAAATGGACAAAGCCCTCGCACTGTGTCAGCCAATGGCAGTTTTCCCCATGGGTGTGAGTGCAAGGAACAGCCTTATTGTCAGTGCAAGTGCAGGAACATCCAATGCACAAGCAGAGCTGAGGCAGGGCTTTCCAGGAGCCAAAAGCCACCTCCTACAGGCCACCCTTGGCTCCAGAGTGAGCCTCCCCCGCTTCCTTAGCTGGCTCCCAAGGCTACTCAGTACTCTAACAATGACCCAGAACCTTCCTGAATTGCTGGTGCTACAAACCACCTGGTCCCATCTTGTCACCCACAAGTTGAGTAAATGCAGGTGTCTGTCTGGCGCTCTAACCAGCATCCCCAGCCCCTGCAGCTGAGCCGCAATGCTGAGTGTTGGAGATGTGTCCACTGGCTTTTGGCTGCCACCCTGGGCGCATGGGTTGCTCAGTGGCTTAAGCTGCTAGCAGTGTACAAGTCAAGCATTCCTCCCTCCTCAATCTAGAAAACCTTTACTGTTGGCCTTCTTGCAACCTGGGCTCACACGCCCAGTGCGAGAGGTCTCAGGGCCTCTGGACTAGAGGGCTAGGACCTGGTAGGGGCATTGTAACCTTGAGCCCCTTAGCCTTTTGCTTAAGTGGCCAACACTAGGGGTAGTGAAGGGGACCCAACTCATGCCACCAGGGAGCCCTGGGGTCTCTTGATGACCAGGCATGGCCCTCTGCCCTGCCACCCTGCCTTCCCCCACCCTCCCTATCTGTAGCCCCTGGCCTGCCTCAGCCTGGTTCTCAAAGCCCTGTTCTCTCTGTCCCCTCTGCAGGCTGGTGGTTCGTGAGCACCTCTGAGGAACAGGGCTGGGTCCCTGCCACCTACCTGGAGGCGCAGAATGGGACTCGGGATGACTCGGACATCAATACATCCAAGACAGGGGAAGGTGAGGTGCTACGGGCCACGAGGTTGGTGGGGAAGGGAGCAGGGGTGGGGCGCGTTGTCTGCCTCTAGAGTCTGCCTCATCCCGGGCCTCTCCTGAACCCAAGAGAATTCCTGAAGGGGGCTTGGCCCACCCCCTCCCCTGGGCTCCTGCCTCACTGAAGTGAACTCCCAAGCTCGCCTCCAGTCCTAGGCCTCTCCCTGCTGGGAACAGTGGACTGGAGCCCACAGGAAGTTCCAGGGCCCCTTGTGGGACTGCATGTAGACTTGCCCTTGCTCTCCATGTGTTGGAATGCAGGGTGTGTGGCTGCGGCTGCGCAGGTGGCCTCTACACGGAGTCTGGCTGCCTGATACAGATGCAGGCAGGGTAGGCCTGAGCACTGGTGCTTGGTGGCCCAGCCCAGCAATTAGCCTTTCTTTGGCTCTGGGCTGACTGCACCATTGAGCCCTAGACATTGGGACCACCCCCAGCTCCTGACTGCCTCTCCTGAGGCCTCTCATGCCTCCATGGCCTGGCAGCAGCAAGTCTTTCTCTAACGGTTGGTCTGGACAATTGAGACAGTTGTGTCTGAGAGCCAGAGGGCAGGCCTGCCCCGGCATCAGGTCATCCCAAGCTTCCCCATGCCCAGCCAGAGTCAGCATCCAAACACTAGCTCTGAATTCACCCTTCCCTGTAGTGGCAGAAACCTGGCTGGCTATAGGGACCCCACCCTTCCTCCTATGTCTACATTGGTTTTCAGACCCTGGACCAGAGCCTTGGACCTACCAGGCATGGCCAGCCCCTCTGCTCTAGGGCCAAACACACCTATCTCAGACCCTGTGGCAGCCTCTTCTTCTCCCAGTTTGTGCTCTGTGCATGCTAGGGATCAGGTACCAGGTGTGCTGAGGGTCCTGGGAACCCTGAGAACGCTGTTGCCATTGCTCTTTCTCAGGAGAGCTGAGGTGTCAAGGCACTGTTTTGTGCTGTCCTGGTCTGGGTAGAGCTCTGTTTTACCCCAGGGCACGGCGCTGTGCATGCTTGTAAGCTGTGGGTATGACTCTGAGCACAGCTTGAAGAGCCTGTTGGTGCTGAAGAGACTGTGGTCCAAGGTCAGAGTGGAAGGATAGAGGGCGAAAGGCCTGTTGCCGAGCTGGCTGCAGCCAGGGCATGGAAGGGCCACAGGCCAGCCTGTAGGGAGCCAAGAGCAGGTGCAGGAGTCGAGTGCTGTGGGGCTGTGCTCCTTGGTGGAGGACAAGGTGGGCCTGCACACATCTGTGCACCTTGTGCCTTCCTCTGCCTGCCTTTGTGAGCTTTTGGCCTGACAGGACTTCTGGCCACACTCAGGATTCCCCTTTAACACGTGGAGCATTTCCTGCTCAGGTCTTCATGAGAGCTTGGAGCTGGGTACTCCTCCCAGGGCCCCTACTGCCCAGCTGTGTCTGCCAGTTGGCACCTGCATCCCAGAGGTGAACTCACAGTTTCCCAGGTCCTGTAGACAAAGACTGATGGGTTCCCTCCCATCCAAGCTTCCCTAAGAGCTCTGGTCTCTGTGCTAGGCAAACACAGGAGCCCAGCTCTGGTGCCCATCTATCAAAGCCCTGTGTGCAGTCTGGGAAACACTTGCCTTAGGGGTTGGGAGCCCTCTTGCCTACTCCGGTGATGCAGGTCCAGACCCAGCATTCACAGGCACTCTGGTGGATTGTGCCACCCCTCTCAGATGAGCTGGAGAGGTCTGTGACCTCCTTGATCCCTGAGCTTACTCTATGGCAGGGCCACGTCCCAACCCTGGTTCCCCACCTGTGTCCCAGAGATGCTTGACCGTGTCCTGTCTCACTCGGTGAGGCCATGGTTGTCTCTGCATGTTCCCCAACGGCAGATGCTGCTCTGGGCCTTGCCTGCCATCCCCTCCCCTGGGGCCTTGCTTGTCAGCAGAGTAGAGGAAGGAAAGCAATGACTGGCTACAAGTGTGGGCCTTTAGCCAGCTGCCAGGACTTGGGTGCTGCCCCTGTAATCCAGAGGGTTCCCTCACACCCTAGATCTCTGTTTCTCCCACATGGATGGGGGACTAGGCTGGTGTTAACCACAGGGGTGCTTCTCTGAGGCCCTTGGGAGGTGACTCCTGCCACCAGTCTTACCTAGGCCCAGTACACAGGGAGGAAATGTCACCTGTGGTGGAAGTGGCTCCTGTCCTCAACAGCTGCACCAAGAAACCCCACACAGCCACCCTCCCTGTCCTGACGGGCCTCCAACAAACCCTGATGGGAAGCAGGGCACACAGGCCCCTGGTTTGGCCCAGACATGCCTGGATAGTTCTTACCCTAACCCCTGGCTTTGTTCCTGCTACCCAGACAAGGGCAGTCAGACAGCTGGCTCCATGGTGCCAAGAGGTGGGCCAGTATCTGCTCCACCCAAGGGTTCTGTCAGAAGGCATGGCCCCTGGAGCTGAGGGGTATGTGTAGGGGAATGCTCAAAGCTGAACAGCAGCACCCAGTGGTCACCCCCCAGAAAACATGCTGCAAGCAAAGGAGGGCATGGACAGCAAGCCTGCTGGGCAAGCTCCTGGTGCCAGAAAGCCACGCAGACAACATGAATGGGGGAGTGAGTCCTGGGCCTGTGTATGTTTCACTCCACTGACATTGGCTGGGACACAGATAGTACCAGAGGTGCAAGACCTAACCTTTGCCCTCTGCAACTGGTGGGAACAGGCAAGAAAGCAAAACAGACTGACATGGAAAGGCCGAGCTCCATGCCCACAGGCCAGGGAGGGGAAGTGGGGGCCAGATCTCTTACGTGCTCATTCTTGCCCTCTTGGTGCCTGGACCAGGGAGTGTGTTGCCTGGTGAGCGAGCGGTTGCAAGCCCAGCCCTCCCTGGGAGCATGGCCCAGGATGGGATACCACATGCCTATGGCATCATCTCTGGCTGGAATAAGCCCTCAACTCGGTCGGGGTACCCCAGGCATGAGGGCCTCCCCTGCCTCTGTCCCTTCCTGTCCCTACCTTGCCCCCCATCTCATCCACATCTCCATTCTCTCCACCGGTTCCTGTTGGTCGCATGCTCCATCGCCACTTCCCACATCAGTGTCCAAGAGACGCAAGGCCCATCTGCGGCGCCTGGATCGCCGGTGGACCCTGGGCGGGATGGTCAACAGGCAGCACAGCCGAGGTGATGGGCGCTCCTCTCCACGGCTGCCGCCTGACTCTCACCTTTCTCTCACTAACACCCCTCCTTTGCACTGCACCCTGCAACCTCCTCACTGGCCCGGAGTCTGGGCAAGCCTCTTCTCTCACCTTCTGCAGCTAGGGTGGGGTAGGGTGGGGGTTGGAGGGGCTGTTTGGGAAACTGGGTGGCACAGGGGGCAGCCCTGACTTGCCAGGGTCCGGGAGACCAAGGACACAGCTGGGAGTCTCTAAGAGGCCTGTGTGGACCCTGGAAGCTGTCCATCCTCCTGGGCTCCCTCCACTGAGAAAAGGCTCCTGTGGCCCCAGCTGGACTGCCAGTTGCTTATGAGCAGGGTAGAAAGAAGCAGCCTTCACCCTTCTGCTTTGCCAGCTCCTTAGCAATTAGACATGGAGCAAAAGCTACAGGAAGCTGGCACCAGGGCACAGCCCCACAGCTCTGCCAAGGTGTCCGGTCCTACCTGGGGTCTCCTTGTGAGGATTCCAGGAGCCCCCGACCCTGCTCAACTGGACTGATGGGGAACCCAACATTAGCTTGTGCAATGGTTTTGGGCTCTGGGCTTTTCCCACATCTAGGAACTTGAGAGGTGAAGGAGCAGAGGGCTGGATCTCTGGACAAACCCCTAAACAACTTCAGACCCCCAGTGCCAGTGGGTGGCCAGTTTGCACTGCGCCGCCTCCAGGAGTTGGGTGTGTGGCTCCTGGCACATGATCTCCCAGAGGGGCGTGCTCAGCACTGGCCTTCTTGGAACCTGGGACACCGTGACTCATACCCCACCCTCAAAGCAGCTCATTTGGTAAATGGCAGTGGGAGCAGGTTGCCCAGGCCCAAGGCAGCAGGAAGCCAAGACTCTGGGTGGCCAATAGCTGAGAACGCTGGCCATGAAGAGCCCAGCCTGGGGCTGCAGGCAAACTGTGGGCTGGCCTGGGGGCGCAGGCAGCTGGTACAGGGCAGAGGCCAAGCAATGGAGACCCTCCATCTGAGAGTGAAGCAGAAGCTACCATAAAACCAGAGGGAAGGGATGGCACTGCTGGGAAGCTGGCCGGGAAGTATAGGGGGAACTGAAGTTTGACCTTCCCTGGTGACCACAGATGTGATTCCCTGTCTTCAACACACACAGCTCACACTCAGTCCTGGGCATACACTCAGAAATATACATGTAATTCTGAGCATGCAGCTGTAAGGAGTCCATGCCCACCCACGTGCTATTTGTGGGCTCACCACTAGTGGTCCAGTTATACAGCATGTGTGCACCTGCAGTGACACCCACAAGGACACAGCTTCCCATACCCAAGCCCTCAGATCTTGTCTACACAGGGGAAGTGGGTTCCAGAGATAGACCACTCTATGCCATGTGTAGACACAGCCAATATAAACAAAGGAGATTCAGGGCTTCCTGTATATCATAAATAGGTGAGTCCCTGGTCTTGTTGCTCTGGACTGAGCAGAGCCGGGTGGCCAAGGAGACCTCGTGAGGAGCTGACTAACCGCAGCACAGTGGGCGGGGAGGCAGGCAACTCACTGGGTGACAAGTCTAGAGAGCCATGCTTCCCCTGCCTCTGTCCCCGTCCCATCAGTCTGTCTGTGGCCGTGTGGCCTGGAGACTGCTGACAGAGGGGAAAGTGTTTGGAGAGAAGAGGCTTTTGTGGCTTGGAAAGTAGGGCATGCAGCCCCTGCCTCCTAAACCAAAACAGGCCTGTCCATCTCCCCAACCCGTGTACCCGGCAGCTGCCTGGCCAGTCCTCCCAGGGCAGGGGTCCTAGAACTCACAGCCCTCCCTCCCTCTCTCCTTCCCTCCCTCCCCATGTCCTCATGGAGGAGGAATCTCCTTTGCAGGAGACCAGAGCCAACTGAGCAACTCTCACCCACTGAAGCCACCTTCTCCTGTGGGCTTTGCCTTATGTGCCCCCCCCACTCCCCTCCACTGACAGGTCAGGTGGCCTGGTTCCATGGAGAAGGTCTCTGCATGTCTCGTGGGATATCTGAGACCTGCAGGGCTCATGTTCCTGGAGGGTGTTTTCATTTCTGCTGTCCCAGCCAGCCAGGACAGAAAACTCAGTACCAGAGGCAGGAAGCCTTGGTCTGAACACCTGGCCAAACCCAGCTCTGGCCCCTCCTCCCTGGAGCCTGTGCAGTGAGCAGGACAGGATGATCCTCTGACCAGGAACACATCAGCTTCAGGGATTCTGGTCATGGGGGCTTTGGCAGGAGCCACTTGGCTTTACTGCCCAGTTTTGCTAGCCCTGCTCCGCCCCCAGCTCCCCTAAGTCAGATACCAGGCTCTGGCTGCCGCACACTGCCCTGAGGCTGCAGCCACACAAGGTGGTCTGGGCCTTGGTCTCTGCTGAGGAGCAGGGCGGGAAGCCTGTGATTTAACTGTAAGGAGAGCTGCCCTCTTCTATGTATGAGCAACCTGGCCTAAGAGAACTTCAATGATGGCTTCCTGCTTCAAACCACAGGCTCATAAAAATAGCCCAGTGTTTGGAACAAAGGTGAAATGTGGAGTCCAGGCCCCGCCTTGCCCTGCCCTAACTCAAAAGTCCTGGATTCCCAGGGCCTGGTGCTGCCTCTTGGGCTGAGGCCTGGGCCAGAATATACCGTGCCCCACTGGAAAATGGAATGGGAACAGGCAGAAGAGCTCGGAGCGCCTCCAGAGACTGAGGTGGAATCTGGCCCAGCAGCCTCCTCCAGCCAAGCTGGGATGGAACCCCAGGGTTGAGTGGGGCTGTGGGGGGAGGCTCAGGAGCGAGGGCCTTCTGGAGCCACTGCCCAGGACACCCACAAGGGAGGTGCTGGCTACAGAGTGGGGCATCGCCCACCTTTTGGTTGGCAGCCTTTCACCTTCTGCCAGTGAACCATCCACGGTCCATCCGGCGCACAGCCTGGAAGGACAGCTGCCTCTGCCCCATGGGAGAGTTGTGGGGAGCTGCTATCGGGGCCCAACATGGGGTTGTGGACAGGACCCTGATAATCCATGGGAGAATGAGCAGATGGCCTCCCTTGGGGGCTTGGCCGCAGCTGCCGTCTTCCCCTAAAGCTGCAGGAGACCCAGGCAGGCTGCCCAGGAGCATCCTGCCAGCAGCCCAGGGTGGCTGTCACCACTGGACGCTGCAGCAGAAGGCGTCTGAGGGCTGGCCTCCTTCCACTCTGGGCTCACCCAGCCCTGCCCTTCTCTCCAGCTGTGCACACAGGGTCTCTCCTCCCGGGTGCTTAAGGCTGTCAACCAGGAGGGGAGGATAGCGGAAGGGGAGCAACAGCGTGCAGGAAGCTGTCCCTGGCACGCTGACCTCAAGTAATCTTGCTATCTTGCTTCCCCCGCCAACCCCACCTACCCACAGAGGAGAAGTACGTCACCGTGCAGCCATACACCAGCCAAAGCAAGGACGAGATCAGCTTTGAGAAAGGCGTCACTGTGGAGGTGATCCGGAAGAACCTGGAGGGCTGGTGGTACATCAGGTAGGGTACATCAGGCAAGAGGGTGGGAGACACCAGGCCCCTGGTGCAGAGTCACCATGACGGCCACCTCACAGCAGGTCCCTACTGCAGGCAGCAGCTGCGTGCCCACGGGCTGGGCTGTAGTATGTTCCCTTCCCGCGTATCTGCCAGGAGAGCTCGGCACATCTGCGTTTGGTTTGCTGCGTCTGCCCTTGGCCATCCTGCCTGTTCTGCAGCTAGGGCCGCCCCTGGAGTGCTGGCGTCCATGGGCCAGCTGAGGCCTTGGGAGGCAGCTTCTCCCAGCTCTGGATCCATGAGCGTCCCTCCTGGCAGACACCAGCTGCTCCCTGGGGGGGCAGTTTTGAGTCTCAGGCAAAAGTGACGCTAGAGCCCAGTGCAGCTTGGTCCACCAGAGGCCTCTTTCTTCCCCACCCTGCCCTTCTCTCAGGACTGAGAAACCTGCTTGGGGTTACAGGCAGGGGTGCGAGGGGCTTCCTTGACCTGCTGGAAGCAAAGGGAAGCTTCTAGGCTTCGCTCACCACTACGTGGCCAAGCCCTGCCTCTCCAGTTTGCTTCGTCCTCCACAGGAACTTCTCTTAGGAAATTCTTGCAGCTGCAGGCACCTTACCCAGCTTCTCTTGCCCGCCTGTGACCCGGGCACTGGCTACCCTGGGCATGCTGTCGGCAGGATATGTGTTCTGAGTGGTCTCTCGCTAGGGCCAGGGTTGTGCTGCGGTCTCCCTGTAGCTGCAGCCAGGAGCTCACAGGGGAGGTTGCTTGGAGCATGGCAGAAGATGCTGATGTGGAGGTTCCTCCACATTGTGGGATCAGATGAGGGGGCCCTGAGCCCCAGTGTGCCAGAGAGGCTCCAGAGGGGCTGAGGAGGCCCTTTCTATTCTACTAGGTGGGATGGGTCTGTGTTGATGGATGTGTGTCACCCAGCGCCTCACTTCTCCCCGGGACCAGCAGCTGCGGGCCTGATGTGGGAAGGCCAGCAAGCTCCCTAGTGGCCACTTGACCGGGGGTCCCTCAGAGGCTATCTGTGTGGCTTCCCTGTGATTCTGTTTCATTTTCTGCTTTAAAAAATTGACCTGCAGAGTCCCTCCATAGCTCCTTAAAGCCACCTCTTGTCCCTACAACCTAGTACTTGAGCCAGCAGGAAGCTCGAGCTGAGGAGATTCTACCTTAAGACGACTGCCAGACACCTCCTTAAATATGCTATTTCCCAGCATTCCAGGCTCTGTGTTGATCCTCATTTCCTGTCTTTCTTCTCCCCACCGCCCCTCAACACTCCCTCAGCTCCCTCCCTCCCTTCCCAGCCTGCTTCCCTCTGGAGCCGTTCCATGCTCGGAGCTGGAAAGCAGATGTGAGCCACGCTGGATGCAGACACTCCCTCGCTGTTCTCAGCCTGGGATCTAATTTTACCCTTGGAATGAATGGGAGCACGCGGGGCTGCAAGCAGGCCTGAGCATCCTAGAGTCCCCCGTCCCCATAGTTGAGCAGTGTGCATGTGGGCATACAGGGGCCAGGCCCATGAAGGAGGCTCGTGCTCATCTTTCCTAAGAGGCACAGGACCACCTGGCTGTAGGCTGCATCCTCCTGTTTCTGCAAGCCCTGGCTGTGGGCGTGCAGCGAGGACGGACCTTCCTGATTGTCCCCGTGCATGCCTGTGTGTGCACCTGTGACGTCACGGAACTCCCTGCAGCCACTTGATCGTTTATGTCTGTCATCCAAGGGCCTGCCAGGTGAGGTTGGCATGGCCAGGCCACCTGCACAGTCCTGGGATGTGAGCAGAAGCTGCTACTTGTGCCCCAAGCTCTCCAGGAAGTGAGTGCTTAGTGGGATTGGTTAGAAGTGCATGCCACAGGGAGCAAAGGGAAATGTCTGTTCTGAGAAGTCATCAAATCGCCCAAAACGATGTCCGCCCTGTCATTTGCCTTTGGTTTTGTATCATTTTTATTTTGGTTTGACCACACCAGTGGTTTTTAATTTGACTGTCTTGTGTTTTGATCCTTTCATTTATGTATCTGGCTTTTGGAGCCCCACATAGAAACACACTCTCAACCCCTGTGATAAGATAAATATTCATGACCTTAAAAAAACAAAACTGCTGCATGGGGTGAGGCCAGAGGCTTACTCCCTTGTGTTCTAATTAGAGACTCAGCGGGACAAGGCCAAGTGGAGACTAGGTCCCTGGGGTGGGGTTCTGGTGCTCCCATGACGGTGTGGCCCTCTGTACTCACAGATACCTGGGCAAAGAAGGCTGGGCGCCAGCCTCCTACCTGAAGAAGGCCAAGGATGACCTACCTGCCCGGAAGAAGAACCTGGCAGGCCCGGTGGAGATCATTGGGAACATCATGGAGATCAGCAACCTGCTGAACAAGAAGGCATCTGGGGACAAGGAGGCAATCCCGGCTGAGGGCGAGGGCCCCGAGGCTCCCATCGCCAAGAAGGAGATCAGCCTGCCCATCCTCTGCAACACTTCCAACAGCAGTCCACTGGGCGTCCCTGAGAGGACTGTGTCTAAGCTGGCCCAGGGCTCCCCGGCCGTGGCCAGGATCGCCCCTCAGAGGGCCCAGATCAGTATGTGTCTCGTGGACTTTGGCTTCCAGAGTGTGGGTGCGAGGAAAGCCAGAGGGTGTGCAGGCAGCCCCCACCCCCACCCTGTTTTCCTGAACCACATGCTGACCTCTGACCCTCATGTTGAAACTCATTCCATGCCCATCACAACTCACCAGTGCATGGCTCTGCTCCTCCTCTGGTCATGCATGGATACGTGTGTGGGGGGTGGGTTTAAATGGACTTTTTTTAAGATTTATTTTTATTGGAGAGATCAGATTTACAGAGAGATCTTTGGCCTGTTGGTTCACTCCCCAAGTGGCTGCAGTGACCAGAACTGAGCTGATCCAAAGCCAGGAGCTTCTGGGTTTCCCACGGGGGTATAGGGTCCTAAGGCCTTGGGCCATCCTCTACTGCTTTCCCAGGCCACAAGCAGGGCACTGGATGGGAAGTGGAGCGGCTGGCACAAGAACCAGCATCCATATGGGATTCTGGCACATACGAGGGAAGGATTTAGTCACTGGGCTGTTGTGCCGAACCCAGATAAATATATTATAAGGGCACTGGGGTGGGGCCCTTAAGAGCAAGAAGCACTTTCTGTGTAACCAAGGCTCTGAAATCGAAACTGAGGATGTATGACTTTTTTTTTTTTTGGCAGCATGCACAGTGTACTGTCTGTAGGACTGCCCTGTGGAGCTGCAGCCCATGCAAGAAAACCTGCCCATGCCTTCCTGCCCCATCCCACCTCTTTTGCCAGTTCCTGGGAACCCAACAGGCTAGGCAGTGTGTGCCAGCAGTTGCCACAAGGCCTCCTTCACTCTGATGGGGGAGACACTCTGATTGGGCACACACCAGCTTCGGCCCCATGGCAACTTTGAGGGGAGAGTTTGGCTGATCTCGTCTGTGAGAGCCCAGCTTCTGCTCTTGTCCAGCCATTCCTAAAGCCTGGCTGGCGTTGGCCTTATCTGTGAACTTGGTTATGTCAGCTCTCGTGCTTGAAAGCTAGTGGGCCTCCTCAGTCGGGATGGATGCACCAAGTACTTCCTCCTGCCTGAGGTTGTGCCATCTGCTGGGGACACCGCCATGAGCAAAGGTTTAGTGTGGTTCCCAAGCCACGGCCTTCTGTGACACTGGGCTGGTGCCAGGCACCAGCACCAGCACTCGTGAACTTGTAGTGAGAACCTGTGCTTCCAAGGACCAGGCGCTGGGCACACTTGGGGGAGGCAGGTGGCAGTACCATTGTGTGGCAGTACCGTTGTGTGTCAGCTTGTGAGGATTTCTGAAAGCCCATGTCTTCTTCCAGGTTCCCCAAACCTGAGGACGAGGCCTCCACCCCGCAGAGAGTCGAGCCTGGTAGGTGACTGGTTTTGTTTTCTCGGTTGCTGGCTGTTGTCACCATCCAGGCCACACTGTAGCAAGCCCATCTGTGTAACGTTTGTGGTCAGTCTGTGTAAGGACTACTGGCTGCAGAGCCTGTTGTCCCGAGGCCTTCAGGTTCCTAGGGCAGGGGAGGAATGGCTGCAGAGGCAAGCCTTCCTGGGGTCCTGGCTGGACAGTTTTATTTGTGCATTTTCACTTTATTTGAAAGACTTCCTATCCTTGCTGTTTTTGCTGCCCCAATACCCACAACATCCAGGGCTTGAGCCAGACCAAAGCTGGGTGTCTGGAATTCAATCAGCTTCTCCCGTGTGGATAGGTCTGTTGGGCCCTCTGCTGCTTTCCATGGTCTGTCAGCAGGAGGCTGGACCAGAAGTGGAGGAGCCAGGTCTTGTCCAGGCATTCTGATGTGGGATGCAGATGTACCTAGCAGTGTCCTAGCTGCTGTGCTCAACATCCGTCCCCAGGGGCTAGACAGTTTATAATCGGAAATGCACTGCACTCCAGAGCTAAATAAATCCATCCCAGCCGCTGAGCTGGCAGACATAAACATTTAGACTGGCCGGCAAGAATGTCCAATAAGCAGTACATTGCCAGGGGCTGGAAATGGAGCTGTCCCATGTTAGCTTGGAAGCATTTTGCTTTACCCGATGGATATGGCAGATGCCAGAGCTGGGGAGGGCAGGAGCATCTTGCATAGGTGCAGCAGATCACAAGGACTGGCTCCCGCTCATGTCCAAGCTGTAAGGCCATTAAGACTGCTGCGCTTCTAGCCTATGGGTGCGGTTCCCTGGAGTCCAGATCTGAAGGCAGGTAGGGGCTAGGTGTGGTACAAGCACAGTGCTCTGGAATCTAGAGCAGTCGGGGTGCGAGGCCCAGCTTGGCCTTCTATGTCTAATACTTCGAGCAGGGGGATGGGTGGTGAGTCACTCAGTTTCCTTATCCATAGGCTGGGGGCAGTGCAGGCCATCTGCTGGAACTACTGTAAGGTTGAGACAGCTGGTTTATGTGGCTGGTGGGATCCTTCTTCCTGAGCCGACTTTGGATGCTTGAGTTTTCTTGCTGGTGTGTACTGGCTTGAGAGCTTCCAAAGCCACATCTGGGCTTGGCAGCAGGGATCACGGGATTCAGTGATGTTGGCCCTGGAGCATGTGTGTGCTCAGCCCGTGGCAGAGGCAGCCTTCCATGCTACAGGATTTCTGAAGATTTGGCCCCTGGAGTTTGTCTCTTCCCCCTTAGGTTTTCCAGCTGCTTGACGGATTCTCCATTCCCCAGTACCGCCCAGCTCTGGCTAATTGTTTTCAGGCAGACTTGACTTTGGCAAGAGTAGGGTGATTCCTTCCACACATAGCAGATGTGGGGATGCTGTTTCCAGTTAGGCCCGCCTGAGTCCCACCTGTGTGGTGGGGAGGGGTAGGGGAGGGGAGGGGTAGGGGAGGGGAGGGGTAGGGGAGGGGAGGGGTAGGGGAGGGAAGGGGTAGGGGGACCTGCACTGGGCCAGCCCAGGCTTGGGCTGCATCTGTCCATGTTCACAGCCATTGAGCCAGGCAGTGGGGCTAGGAAAGTCGACACTTAAGCAGACCTTCCAAACCAGCTTCTGCTGGTCCCTGCCTCTGCTGCTATGTGTCCTACCTGTGGTCCTCACCCCTGGGCTCCAGGATGGAAGCTTTTCATTTGTATTTTAGAACCTCACAATTAATGTGTCTGAAAACTGGACCCCACAGACAAAAAAGGTGGGTTGGGGGGAAGCAGGGAGCCTTGTAGTAGCTGAGGTAAATCCCATGGGCATCCTATATGTGACTCAAGGTTCAGGAAGGCGGGCATGTGCTTGGACAGACATGTGCTTGGGCCAGCTGCTGTCCTGCCTGTCACTGGCCACACATACTTACTGGAGACCTCATGGGGCCCAAGTGTGGTCTGTTTACTGCCGCACTGGGTTGGTTTTGCTCACCATGTCCCTGTCTCCTTAGGGCTTCCAGCTGCCGAAGCCCCCGGAGCCCCCTTCTGTTGAGGTGGAGTACTACACCATCGCCGAGTTCCAGTCATGCATCTCAGATGGCATCAGCTTTCGGGGCGGCCAGAAGGCAGAGGTGAGCCTGGGCTGGGGGTTTGTGGGGTTCCCACTTCCTGCCTTGTTGGTGAGGCTCCTGAAGGACCAGTGGGAAAGACACAGAACTGAGCCCCACAGCTGTGGGCATCTGTCTTTAACCAGACAGGTGCTTCAGTCAGGTGTTCAGTGTAGGTCTCACAGCAGCAGCCCATGGAACAAGGAGCTGGCCCCAGGGACACCTGCGAGTAAATGGTCACCATGGTCTGAATGCAGGGCTGGGCCTGGGAGAGGATGCGGGTGACAGGATGGCAGTTTTAGAATACGTGTGTGTTCTTGGTTCCTAAACCAGAAACTGTGTGTGCGTTTTATTTGAAAGGGAAGAGAAATCCAGCATGATGGCTCAATTTGCTAATCCTCCTCCTGCAAGCCCAGGATGCCATATGGGTTCATGTCCTGGCTGCTGCATTTTCCCATCCATCTCCCCACTTGTGGCCTGGCAAAGCAACGAGGATGGTCCAAAACCTTGGGTCCCTGCACCCACATGGGAGACGTGGAAGAGGCTCCTGGCGTCAGATGGGCTCAGCTCCAGCCATTGCAGCCATTTGAGGGAGTGAACCAATAGATGGAAGATCTTTGTCTCTCCTGCTCTCTGTAAATCTGCCTTTCCAGTAAAAGCATTCATTTAGAAATAAATGAATCTTTAAAAATAAAAAAAGAAAAAGGCACACAGAAACCTTCCATTCCCTAAGCCATACCCCAAATGCCTACAACGGCTAGGAACTAGGAACCCTGTCCAGGTCTCATGTTTGTCACCAGAACCCCAAATAAATGAGCCATTACCTCCTGCCTCCCAGGAAACACATTATCAGGAAGCTGGGTTGGAAACAGAGCAAGTAGACTCGACCCAGGCCCTCTGATGTTGGGAAATGGGCATTCCAAGTGATGACTGTAGCACCAAAAAACTGCCACCCTCCACCTCTCTCTGAAGGAACATAAGCATAGTTGCTTAGGGGAAGGGAGGGGCCTGCCCCACCAGGGGGGTGATACAGCCTTGGAGGAACAGGGAGAGGGACATGGAGGGCGGGAGTCCCCTTGATATAGATGCCTGGATTTATACTCCGCCTCTTGCTAAGTTGGGTCTTAGACCAGTTACTCAGTTTACTTGTCTCTAAAAAGGAGCCAGCATAGCCTGGCAGTCACTGACCTGTTTGCCCTCTTCCCTCCAGGTCATTGATAAAAACTCAGGCGGCTGGTGGTACGTGCAGATCGGCGACAAGGAGGGCTGGGCGCCCGCGTCCTACATCGATAAGCGCAAGAAGCCCAACCTCAGCCGCCGCACAAGCACGCTGACCCGGCCCAAAGTACCACCCCCCGCCCCCCCCAGCAAGCCCAAGGAGACAGAGGAGGGCCCCGCAAGTGCCAGTGAGAGCCGGGACTCCCCCGTGAAACTCAAGTATGAGGAGCCCGAGTACGATGTCCCCGCCTTTGGCTGTGACTCCGAGCCAGAGGTGGGCGAGGAGCCCACAGAGGACCAGGGCCCCGGGGACAGGCGGCCCACACAGCCATCCCGACCCTCGCCGGCCTCCTCCTTGCAGCGGGCCCGCTTCAAGGTAGGAGAGTCCTCCGAGGATGTGGCCCTGGAGGAGGAGACCATCTACGAGAATGAGGGCTTCAGACCGTTTGCCGAGGATGCCCTGTCAGCCAGGGGCTCCTCCGGAGACAGCGACTCCCCAGGAGGCTCCTCGTTGTCCCTGGCCAGGAAAAACTCCCCCAAATCAGGCTCTCCCAAGTCCTCATCACTCCTGAGGCTCAAAGCAGAGAAGAATGCCCAGGCGGAACTGGGTAAGAACCACTCCTCGGCCTCCTTTGCTTCATCCATCACCATCAACACCACCTGCTGCTCCTCCTCTTCCTCTTCCTCCTCTTCCTTGTCCAAGAACAGTGGCGAGCTGAAACCCCGCTCTGCCTCGGACGCAGGCATCCGGGGCGTGCCTTCGGTTGGGGTGAGGAAGGACCCCGACACCAAGGCCGGGCTCAGCTGCTCCAGGGCCAAGCCATCAGTCCGGCCCAAGCCCTTCCTGAACCGAGCGGAGTCACAGAGCCAGGAGAAGATGGACATCAGCACTTTACGGCGCCAGCTGCGACCCACGGGTCAGCTCCGGGGTGGCCTCAAGGGCTCCAAGAGCGAGGATTCGGAGCTGCCCCCCCAGACGGCCTCTGAGGGTCCCCCTGAGGGGTCGAGGAGAGGTTCAGCTGAAACCATTGCCCCGCCAGCCTCCATGCCCCCTGGTCCCACCAGGAAGGACCAGGATGGGCAAGCAACCTCCTATGTGACGTGCAGCGCCTACCAGAAGGCCCAGGACTCAGAGATCAGCTTCCCCGCGGGCGTGGAGGTACGAGTGCTCGAGAAGCTAGAGAGTGGGTGGTGGTACGTGAGGTATGGGGAGCTCGAGGGCTGGGCCCCTTCCCACTACCTGGTGCTCGGCGAGAATGCGCAGTCAGACCCCTCTGGCAAAGAGCTGGACACGGGGCCTGCCAAGGGCAGGCCCAACGGGGGCAAGTCAGACAGCCTGGAGAAGATGGAGCGGCGGGTGCAGGCACTCAACACTGCCAACCAGAGCCGGAGGGCCACGCCGCCCATTCCTTCCAAGCCCCCTGGGGGCTTTGGTAAGACCTCTGGGGCCACCACCACTGTGAAGATGAGGAATGGTGTACGGCAGGTGGCCGTCAGGCCCCAGTCGGTGTTTGTGTCCCCGCCACCCAAGGACAACAACCTGTCGTGCGCCTTGCGGAGGAATGAGTCACTCACTGCCACCGACAGCCTCCGTGGTGTTCGTCGCAATTCCTCCTTCAGCACTGCCCGCTCTGCAGCTGCCGAGGCCAAGGGCCGCCTGACTGAACGGGCTGCCAGCCAGGGCTCGGACTCACCCCTGCTGCCCGCCCAGCACAATGGCATCCCCGTGTCTCCCGTGCGTCCCAAGCCTATCGAGAAGTCCCAGTTTATCCACAATAACCTCAAAGATGTGTATGTGTCTATCGCAGACTACGAGGGGGATGATGAAACAGCAGGCTTCCAGGAGGGGGTGTCCATGGAGGTTCTGGAGAGGAACCCCAATGGCTGGTGGTACTGCCAGATCCTGGATGGGGTGAAGCCCTTCAAAGGCTGGGTGCCTTCCAACTACCTTGAGAAAAAGAACTGAGAGGCCCCGGGGCCCTTCCAGCTGTGTGGTGAAATGCAGAAAAAAGAAAAGGGGGGGGAGGGGGTGGGGAGTAGGCAGTGTTCAACCCTCCAAGTGTGTGGCCCAGCAGGTGCCACCTCCAAGCTGTCCCCAGCTGGAAGGGGGAGGGTGTGGCAGGGGCCCACACTGGGGGTTGGGTAGGGAAGGGAATGGGCAGGGGAGGCCCAGGCCTGGGACCCACAGGTGCACCTTGGTGACTTCGCAAATGGACTGCATGTCATCTAGGACAGGCCATGTAGGAAATCCCGATCGTGCCTTTGCTGCAAACCCGGGAGTGACATGGTCATTGGGGCCTCTGGCATCCTGATTTTGGTTGCTGGCATTTGCCATCTTCGTGGGTATTTGAGTTTTGCTGGTTTCCCAGGGATATTGAGGCCACTGCTGCCTCTGAGCTTGGAGGTATTGCTGGGGAGCCCCCAGCTTATGTTAAAGGACAAGTGACTCTTGGGTGCCAGCCGTGCCTGCCGGTTCTTTGCCATTGCCGGACTGGTCTTGGGAGTGCGCCCTCCAACAGAGGGTGAGGCTGATTTGGGTATTTGTGAGCAGGAGTTTTTTGATCTGGGGGTTCTATGTTGGACCTTCAGTTTGGTTTATTTTAGAGGCTGTTTGGCGCTCAACACTGGGCAGCCTCCTGGGGGGGTAGTGGAGGGGGTGGGTAGCGGACAGGGCTTTCCTGTTGTACTCTTGTTGGATAAATAAGGGGGTTATTTTTGCCTTTGTCCCATGTCCTTCCCCTCTACAAGCCAAAGTTGTGTCATTTGGGCTCCACTGTGGGGGTAGGGTCCACACACGGCGCTCACCAGGGGCTCTGGGGCTGCGTGAGCCTGTCGCAGACGCCCTAGCTTCTGGTTCCCACATAGGGGTGCCGGGGGTGAGGGACTTGCTGTTTGAGGAGCCCAGCTGCTGTCAAGAAGGCCAAGGGCCCTGCGTGTGTTCCCTCTCCTGGGTGGCCCCAGCAGAAACCACCAGCTGCCCCCTTTGACCTGTTGCAACTCCATGGGTGCCCAAGGAGATGGCGAGTTTCCTGTGCCAGAGTTCAGCCAGCCTTCCAAGGGCACAGCACCGCAGGGGAGAGAAGCCAGAGAGAGGAGTTGCTGTGAGCCCAGCTGTTGGCCTTTCCTGGGGAGGGAGCCCTCCAGGTCCCCCATCGGCTCCCCCGAGGACTCACTCTGCTGGGAATGGACTGCCACACGTGCCTTTGCTATGGGACAAACCAGAACCCACGGCCACCAGCTGAGGTGCCAGCGTCTAGGACTGCGGGCTGCTGCCCTCCACGCAGGAGGAAAGTGTCGCCCCCTCCGGGACTCTCAAGCCCTGTCCCTGGCCACTCACCAACGCAGGCAGCTACAGTGACTGCTCCTATTCTTCGTGCGATGGCTGTGGTGAGGCTGTTTGGTTTCCTTTTGTTTTGTGAGTTTTAAAGTCATGATTAATTCTTTCCTTCTGCTGGACAGTATTCAATAGCGCAGGATGTGGTGTTAACCTGCTAGGTTGCAGTACTAATGGTAGTGGGGTAGTGTCTTCATATGAATATTATTTGTCCTTATTTGAACAATAATGATAAAGAAGTGGTTCATTATTTTGTAATTAATGCACTTTAAATAGGTGGAAAGGAACAAAACCCAGAGAGCAAAGTGCATTACTTAAAGATGCAGTATATGCTTTTCTCATTTTTAAACAGCACATATTTATTTAAAAAAATAATTTATGATTATTTAAAATAAAATTTAAAAGTAGAGTGGCTGTGGGGCTAAAGGAGCTTCCCCGTGGCAGTCTTCCATGGAGCAGGCCTGCGGCCTCACTCCTCAGCTGTCTGCACTGAGCCAGTTCAATCACTAGTGCGCCTGCCAGGCCAGGAGGACTTGCGGGCCAGTGTGTGTGCCCAGCCCGAGCAGCTCAGTTGGACTGGACCATAGTGCTGCCCAGAGGCTGCCTTGCCTGCCCCACCTTGTTCTGCCGTCCGCACTGCCCCCAGAGCCCTCCAGCATCCACATCCTTCAAGCTGCCCCCACGATCCTCTCTCCTGATTCCCAGTGCACCTCAGTGCTGGAGTCCTTCAAAGGCAGGGCTGGAAGGGACGTGGGATGTCAGCCACTGCACATCCCATCCCTTCTGGCTTCTGCAGCCCAAGGCCAGGAAATGGACTTCCCCCAAATCTCACAGCTCATTCTCGGCAGCTCGCCCCTGCCCACTGCGCTAATCCTGTGCTCCTCCCCATACCCCTTCACCCATGTCCCCACCCCCAATTTAGTTGACTGTTTGGTCATTGTGTTTACATTGTGGCATCCAGCCCCAAGGATGGTTGGGAGTTGCTCAGGCATCTGGGAAAAAGCAGAGAATGCTGCCACCTGGTGGGAGCATGTAGACATGGGCAATGAATGGGGATTGCTATGGCCCAGTCTCCACACCTCGCCCCCTCCCCATCACCCCCAACTCACAGCGCAGACCCTGCAAACCCAACGACAATAGTGATACTTGAAGCAAAAAGGGTGCATGCCAGTCCTTCTCCAGCATTGCCAAGGAGCCGGGACCAGGCCTGTGCCCCTGGGATCCCAGCCCTTGCCTGGAGCTACTGAGCTGCTTTTGTGAAGTCGGAGGCGCTGCTGGCAGCGGACAGAGGAGGAGGTAGGGGGCTGTGGCTCTGACCCATCTGGAGGAAAACCAGATCGGACTAAAAAGCAAAAGAGAAAAAACAATCTCAGCAATGTCCAAACCTAGTTTTTCATTAGTTGCAATTGAAAATGTGAAATGACATTGTATTGCTGTATACTGCAACTTTAATCATAATGAGCCCTTCTGAGGTCATTATTGAGGTTTATATAATGCCTGAAGATGCATCATTTGGTGCTTTTTCTTTCAGTTAAAAGACCTTTCCTTTGATCACTTGGAGAAGCATGTCTTCATCTCTTCCTCCGTCTCTCAATAGCAGGCCAGTGTTGGCTTGGTCCTCCAGCCTCTTCATGCTAGGGCCATGGGGAGTAGCTGGGAGGAGCGCACCCTGTGCCCTCGTGCTGGGCTCTTAAGTCACCAGGACTCAGCCTGACCACCTCCAGCCTGGCTCCCAAAGAGTTCTCTCCTTAACTGTCTTGACGAAGGCATTATATAGAATCATCTTAATTACGTTCAGATGTTCGTGCAGCATATGTTACTGGCATTTATATCCATTGCTTTCCTCAGCAAGGCATGTTACTACTATTTTTTTTTAACCCTAAAGGAAAAGATAAGGGAACTGTGGTCGAGCGTTATCCTGTTAGTAGTACTTGCAGAGTAGGTGTAGAACTATATTTAATTTAGACCTTGGTTTGGTAGTTCAAGAGGGAGTAACAAAATAACCCCGACTTCTCTGTTGCTTGTATTTAATTGATGTTTCTTAAGGTTCTTCACTTCCCCTATCCCCTCCAAATACTCTGCATTCTCGATTGAAAATGGAAACAATCCGAGAGACAGAAAAAGTGCAATATTACCAAGATGGACGGTGTCAAGCATGGGGCGCCACGGGCCATCTGCGGGTTAGCGCGAGGCAGAAAGGCTGCTGGCAGGAGCCAGTCTGTGAAGCAGATGGCAGGGCTGGAGCCCCCCTTTCCCGGCCACATGGTAGTTCTCCACCAGAGAGCAGCCCCGTTTTCTATTGGGTGGCATCCACCCAGGAGAAAGGATTCAGGGACAGGACGGTGGGGGGGGGGGACCCTGAAGGCCTCCCCCACCCCCAGGCAGTGCCCCCTTGTTTTCGTTTTCATTATCTGGCAGCCAGAGAGACCTGTCCCCACTCCTAGCCACCCTCTTTCACCCTTGCCTCCGTGTGCTTGGGCCATAAGCCTTTGGATATGTGTGTCTGTTTGAATCAGTCTAAAACTATAGAACCTCAGTTCTGTTTGTGGGTGGAAACCCTGGCCTTCGCCACCTTATCTTTGGAAGTGCAGGTGCCTTGAGCCCTGCACACCCTGCCCCCCACCCCAACAGTGGGGCCTGGGGTGGGGCTGGGCTCACCCTTTCATCTCAGTGGCCCCACAGCCCAGACCAGCCAAGAGTTTGTGGGGAAGGAAGGCCTTGAGGGATCTTCCCAGGGCCACTCCTAACAGGTACCAAGCCAGCAGCCTTCTTCCTTGACGTGGCCACAGAAAGCAGGATGGGACATCGGGGGTAGGCCCGCCCCTTCCCCTCCGCCCAGTATTGTATATGTGCTGCTCCAGCCCTGCACCAAAACTCAACATTTGGATCTGTGTCCCAGGCAGGGCAGCACCCCTGGGTGGGCCTCTCCCTTGGTGCATACACGGCTACACAACTAGTGCCAGGCTGTCTGGAAAGAGAACCGTCCATATCGTTAAAGGATTGATTCCCTCACTTCTTTTGAGGGTTTTAAATTGAAAGTGTGTGTATGTATGCATGTTTGGTAATTTCCCACTTGAACTAAATAATGTGGTTAGAAGGGGGGTGGGGGAAGTACCGGGCAAGCTGTCTCCACTGAGCAAAGTCCTTGGCATTGGGCAGGTCCCAAGGGACTCATAGCTTCTAGCAGCGTGTGTGTTAGTCACATGCACAATTCTGGCTGGAGAGTGCAATGTGGTTTATTATTTTTGGGGTAATTATTTTATTTAGTTGGAAACTTCGCACTGGCATTAACAGATCTAGCAGCAGCAGCCTCGGCCACTGTCCCAGGCCCAGAATGAAGACATGAAGAGATGCTAGTGGGAGTCCTGAGGGGTTTAGTTGCCCCTGCAGAGCGTCACCCGTGGAGGCTGGCTCCCACCCCCGTGGTCAGGGGCTCCCCGAGTCTCTTGGGTATTGTTTCTCACAATGGGCAGACAAGGGTGAGCAGCAGTTCCAAGTGCCCAGCATGACATGCCCCCTCAACAACCCGAGTCTCCATTGCAGGCCCCGACTGGACACTTCCTAGCCATTTTATGCAGGCTCCTGCAACCTCCCTAAGCTTTCTGGCTCTGCCATCATCCTTGTGCTCCCCAGGGGCTGTGGTCAAAGTCAGTGAGAGAACAGGGTCAGGGACCTGCAGTCCTGCCAATCAGCCCTTCCCTCTGACTTGGTCCCTGTACCCTTGAGGGTGGCCACGCTGGTGCTTCTACCAGGGGAAGGCTCCACCTTCCAAGGTCTTGATCCCAGCCTGCTCTCAGGAGGGCACTGGCATGTGATCTCCCTTTCCCCAATTCTACCTTTTTTTAAATCCTCAAGTTTGCACTTTGACAATCAACACCCTCTCCCATCCCAGTTCTAGAACTTAGTGGCCTTAGGAGAATTAACATCCCCTGGGCTTAAGCAAGGTCCCTGCCTTGGTCCTGGTTCCATCCTGGCCAGTGGGACAGCTGAGAGAGAGCACGCTGTAGAGCAGCAGACTGGCTTGAGCATGTCGGAGCATGTAAGAGGCATGTCTACAGGATGAGTGTGTACGTCGGGGTGGCTGGGGCCCCACAACCCTTCCCGGGGAAGGGGGCTTCCAGAGGAGGCAGGAGGAGGCCGAGAGGATTTCGAGGCTCATCTGTGCTGGGCAGGAGGAAGTCTGGATGTTTCAGAAAGAAGAGGTGGAGGGAGAATCTGGTGGCTCAGTCCCTACGGGCCTGACTAGAACAAGTTGGAAAATCCTTCAAATTTGGCCTTAGAAGCTGCAGGAGAAAACCGGCTGTCACTGGCCATAATCCGGGCGGGTCCCCAGCAGGTTCCGGCTGTTTACTTAGTGGAGGGGGACACAACATACCTTTGAGTTTAGAGCTCTGTCTCCAGGATACTTCAGTCCACCTTTCAGGTGCCCAGCTGATTGGCCCTGCCCCTTTGTCCAGGACAGAGCCAGCTCTCAAGCAGCATGACTGTTACAGACCAGAGGCTGTGACTGGCCAAACAGGGACCTGCCATCCCCCACGGGAGCCCTTACATCCTTGTGGCTAGTCCTGTGTAAGTCTGGGGGCAGCCTGTGGCAGGGGTTTATGGAGTCACCTCTCCAGGTATGACTCAGGCCTGGGGTGATGCATACCCTCCCACTTCTTGGTGGCTTGTAATCCACTCTTCTGAGGTCATCACTGAGGGAAGGAGGGAGGGTGGTTCTGCCAGGTGCCCCTGGAACCCAGGGACAGCTGGAAGAGCATTCCCTGGCAGGTGCTAAGGCCAGCAGGATGGCAAACGGGAGTAGCAGATGCCTGGAGCATTGGGGTATGGTCTGCATGGGTGGAAGTGGAGCAGTAGAGGTCTCTGGGGCTCCAGAACTTTGGAGAACTGCTGTCTGCTCAGCCCTGGTCTTAGTGGGACCCTGGGAGCAGGAGGGGCTTTCCCTTTCTCATCCCCAGGAGAAAAACAGGAGCCAAGGACATTAGCTGCAGTGCAATCCCCTCAGTGCTAAGATGGTTCCGAGATCCAATGGTGGTGCTAAACTATCTCCATGTTTCTAATGGTTTTTAATGTTTTTTTCCTCACCATAAAAATGCAGCGTCCTTGGGGAAGGGGGCGCTGCCCTGGGGTCTGCCGCAGTCCAGGGGCCTATCCTCCCTTGGATGGGGCTCCTTGGCCTGCAGAAAATGCTGTATCTTGGCATGCTTCTAGACTGTAAGATTTGGGGTTTTTTTCCTTTTTTTTATGTTTACATGCATCTTGTATTTCCCTGAAAACTAAATAAAGTTTCTGGCCTTTTTAACTGAACAGAATTGCCTCTTCCTTCTCCCTATCACCAGCAACCCCTCCCAGACAGCAAACATCCCCTCATCCCCAATGCAGCAACCAGTGGAGGATCAGGAGATTGCCCAGTTCCCACTCTTGGTGAAAATTGTACCTGAACTCTCCTTGCTCTTCCTCCACCACCAAAAGCTGTTCTGGGCAGTGGCCAAGTCCTGGAGAGAGCCAAGGACCCCTGTACCAGACTCAGCAAGGCAGGGTGGTCCGAGCATTGGGGGGGAAGCCACGGCTATTCAAGGCCAAGCGCAGACTCCCAGATGGCAGTTACGAGGGGAAAGTACCCACGGCCTCTGAGCGGGCACTGCCAGAGTAGCATGGTTCCAACAGCAAGCCAAAGTCTTGGGGCTGTTTCCAGCTACTCTCCAACTCCAGCCAGCACATACACAGGGTTCCCCCACCAAGGCCTTGTCCAGTGGCCTCCACACTGCACTGTGGGAACACAGCTGAACCTAGCCAGAGGTGGGGGCCTGAGCTGAGGGCACGGCTGGAGGTAGCCTTGTCGCTGGGGGAGCTCAGCACAGCCTCTCCTGACCAGAGCAGCGGGGACTGGTCTGTCCCCTGATCAGCCCCTTGAATGCATTGCCCATCCCACAAGGCCTCAGTCATGGTGAGGGCACTGCTCTTCACAACCCCACAAGATTGAGACTCACCTGACATGCCAGCGCCTGCTCTTGTCCACCACCGGAGGATGCCTCTCCACCTACAGGGCACACAAACACATCCCCTGGCCCGCCCTCCCCACCTTCTACATGGCACACCACAGCCCTGAGGCTGGTACGAAATCACCTTTATTCACAATCACAGCGACCCAGATCACAAAGGCAGCAGCTACCCCAGCACTAACAGACAACAGATGATGGCTTCCTCTCCCAGGACCTCGGGCCACACAGCCCCAACATTTAAGGCCTCTGGGATGACAGGGGAGGAGAGACCCAGCATACGACGCACTTCACCGAGAGCCCCTGCAAGGCTGGTAAGAAACGTGGCCGAGCCTGGGCCCCAACGGCCAAGCGGTGCCCCCATCACACACCCCCCTGGCAGCCTCACCAAACTCCTCCAGAAGCCAAAGAGAAAGTACCCCCTCCCCCCAAACACACACACACAACCATTTCACAGAAGAGGGAGCTGAGGTTTGGTGGGGGGTTGGCGCCACATAGCCAGTCTGTCAGATGGACCTTGCCAGGAGGCCTCCCGACATGCCCCCTTTTCCCAGTTCTCAGTTGGCAATGCTGGCCGTGAGCTTTGCAGCTGGGGCCTGGACAGGGTGAAGGATGGTCTCTGCTCCCCCATCACTAGGTGGCCCACACACCAGGGTGGTGTTTCTGGGGCCCACAAAGACACAAGGAAAAAAAAAAAGCCACAAACTCAATAAATAAATAAATAAAAACAAGGAAAAGGGCTGGACTTAGACCAGGGCAGCCCCTGCAGCCACTTCCACCCAGGAGTGGTGATGGAGGACATGGCTGGAGACAGCCTCTGAGAAGTGGCCCAGGCCAGCCCAAGCTGTGGGAGGCAGCGGGGTATGGAGAGAAACTACAAACCTGTTCTCAAAGATCCTGATGCAGGCAGACCTGCTCCCCCAGCCCAGGCTACCCCAAAGGGTCACCCCAGAGCCACAGCAGCTCACAAGATGACTGGGGCAAGAGCTACACCCTGGGACCTGGAGCCCTGGCCAGCAATCCACCCACTCTTCCATCCCAGGTGATGGGAGGCTGGCCTGGGGAGTGCAGCCTGCCTGGTGCAGAGGCGTCCCCAGCCTTCTTGCCCCCAGCTGCTGGACCAAACAGAGGAAGGAGATAGCAGCTCAGGAGCTGTGCTTGGGGCTGTTTTTCAGGAGCCTGCTCAAGGGTGGCTGGCTGAGATGCTCAGTGCAGGTTCAGATCCAGGCCACAGCCCACTAGCCAGGCCACAGGCCCTGACTCGGGGTCGCCTGTGCCAAGAAGGAACATGTTATTCAACTCTCATCATGGTGCCACAGGCACCTCTTAAAAACCTACCCCAGGTGGGGAAGGACTGTGCCAGGGACAGCGACAGTGCTCAGCCTTGTCCCTCAGCACAGAGAGGGAGCTGGGCACAGAGACACAGAGACGGCAGAGCTGGGCAGCACCTCCTCCCCTGCCCTCTGCCTGGCCATTGGCTTCTGCCACCCACCTCCCTGCCTAAACCACTTCTCTCTTCCCCCAAACCTCCAGGGGCCTTAGTTTCCCTTGTTTAATGGAGAAGGAACAAGCTTCCAAAGTGAGCAAGAGAAGGGCCCTGTTGGCTCACCCCACAGCCAGCAGGGTGTGCTAGGAGCTGCGGTAGGTCTTGATGATGTCCTTGATGGGGCGGCGGCAGATGGGGCAGCAGGCGTGCAGGGCCTTCTTCAGCCGCAAGCCGCAGGCATAGCAGAGGCACATGTGGCCGCATGTGTAGATAACCGTGTCCACAGCGTGTTCATAGCAAATGGTGCACTCATCACTCCACTGGCCCAGACCTGGGGTCACTGGTGACTCGGGCAGGCTCACTGGAGAGTTGGGAGCTGTCCCTGGAGGTGAGGGGGCAGCAGTCAGGAAAAGGGGGCATGGATCTGCCGGGCTCCAGGTTCGTGGGAACGGCAGCCAGCCCCTGGCCTCTTATGTCCCCTCTGTCTTTGCAGATCTGCCTACTGACCCCCAAAACCTGACTTCCTGCTACTTGGGCAAAGGCTGAGCGCTCAGTGGCACCATTTCCGGGACATTCCACCCTGTCCAGGGGCCAGGATGGCCATGAATAGCAACAAAACCGGCAAGGAGGAGAGAGGGGAAAGAATTGCAGTGTTTAAGGCTGGACCCTAAATTAGTGGGCTACCCACTAACATTTCCTTTGTGCAGAAAGAAAAGGGATAAAGCCCTTGGCAGAAGCTGCCCAGCCAGGGCACAGGCATATATGCCCCAGAAGCATCCTAACAGGGGTTCACTGGACCCCAGCCCAGCTCTGCTCTGCTCTGCGCCAGCTGTGCCCCAGGCTGCACCCCAGGCTGCAGAGGCCAGTGGCTCAGGGGCAGCTGTGGTGCAATCCCTATGGTGCCCACAGGGTGGCGTACTTACCCCCCGCAGAGCTTCCCAGAGGGCCAGAGCTGCATGTGCTGAGCAAGGGGTCGGAGAGGCGGCTGCCCAGGGCAATGGGTGAGGTGGGTGTGGAGGCTGGAGAGCAGGGAAGTGACGGGATGACCCGCTCTGCCAGGATGGTAGAACCTGTAAGGAGAGGGAGAGGAGTTTGTGAAGAGGCATGATACAGCCACCCAAAGGCCACATCAGACAGGCAACCCCTGTCTGCCTACACAGCACTCTCACAAACAGGGGGCCCACCATGCTCGCACCTCACTGCATCAGCAGCCTCAACCAGCCCCTGCCTGAACCCCACTGCCACCCAGCTTGCAGCATCCTCCTTGCAGATGGCTCCAGGACAGAGAATAAGGCCCCACCACCCTCTCGCTGTCCTCTTCAGAGCCCTGCCCTCTCTGCTGCGATCTCCAGATGCCACCCACCTCTGCACCAGCACTGGTGAGACCCCCACCCTTCTTCCCCACTGTGCACATCCCACTGGCTGCAGGCTGCCCGGGGGTCACTCAGGACCCCCATCCATCCATCACCAGTCCAACGGTTGAGCAGAATGCTCCAGGAGGCTGCTCCTGATCCCACTGCTGTCTTAAGGACGTTCAAATCCTCATATTTATTTAAGCTTCCTTTGGTCCAGCCTGACAACCCCCTTTAGAAAACATTAACTGGGAAGCTGCTCGTCTGGTATTAGATGGTCTGAGGCAAAACAGGACCTTGTCCTATGTCATTTCCTTTCTCTGAGGGGCAGTGTCTCCTGGTGGGCCCAAGACCCTTTCACCCCAGCCTGCTTCTCCTTGCTTTGTATTCCACCCTGAATTGTCAGTCAGCCTGATTCACGATCCTTTTATCTGGGTTGTTCTTCTTCTGACACCTTCTCATTCTTTCCCGATTTCTCTTCCTTCAATCTCAACTTCTTAGCACACAGTTTCATGTCTTTCCCTCTATCTTCACTCAGTATCGTTCAACAGCGAGGATATCCAATAGATGTGACTGGGATTCCACACACGCTCACATTCCCAATCTCTACACACACTCATGCCTGCTCACAGCAGGCCCATCTGAGAGAGGGTCGTTCTAACACACACGGCACTGAACGGGTCTCCTGGGCTGGTGTCTGGGCTAGGGGCTGTGAGGTCCAAGGGTTTCCAAACTTAGCTTAAAAAATTAGCTTAAAAAAAATAGGGAATTGCTCTTGTGCTACGGCAGGTTAAGCAGCTGCTCAGCACACCTGCATCCCATACGGACGTGCCGGTCTGAGTCCCAGCTACTGCACTTCCAATCTGCTTTCAGCAAATGCACCCCAGAAGGCAGAGGAAGCTGGCTCAGGTACTGGGTCCCTCACACCCATGTGGGAGAACAAATGGAGTTCCTGGCTTCCTGGCTCCAACTTAGCCCAGATCTGGTTCTTGTAGCTATGTGGGATGTGAACGGACAGAAGATCGCTCTTTCTCTAAATTTCAAATAAATGGGGCGGGGGGGGGGAATGTCAAGAATCCAGCCAAGACCTCCGGGCAGAACTGGGATCTCTGCTGACAGGGTCTCCAGCTGAGTCTGATGAAACCAGAATGGTTAGCAGACCACAGACACCTGCTAGGGGACGGGGCGGGGGGGGAGACAGCAGTAATAAAGCTCTCAGAAAACAAGATCTCTGGTCAATGCGTTTGGAAAAGCCGTGCACCATAATTACCTTAACCAACCCACACCGCTGATTTAAGGTTCCAAAAAGCCCTGTAACAATCCTTTCCCCTATTTTGAACCCCACAGTTCCCAAACTATCACAAGCAGGGCACCTATTAACAGAACATCCCACAAAGCCAGGCAGGCAAGTACGTGTAAGTATGTGTACACACATGTATACACACACACAACACACCCACGCCCGGCCTTTCTAACCCTGTGACCCAGAACTCCAAGGAGACTCCTCCTGGTTCCCCCCACCCACACAAACCTTAGGGATACCCCAACCCCTTTTTCTCACTCACTCAAAGCCACCCGTAGGCGCAGGAACTTCTGGTCTCATCTTACACAAACTTTAGCCGAACCTCAACCAGCCACTCCGTTTTTTAAGCAGCCCCTCGGGCGTGCACTAGGCTGGCTCGAGGCCGGAAGAGGCCGGAAGGGGCCGGAAGGGGCCGACTCTGGCTTTCAAACTAAACCACCTCCGCCTCCTTCCCCCTGCCCAGGTGAATCTGCTCATTCCTAAGGGCCCCAAAGAACGCACCTGGCCTGACTCCCCAGCAGGGCCCTAAGCACCGGGTCGGGAGGGGGTAAGAGGGGAGCAGGGAAGGCTGCCCTCAGTCCCTACCCGGGTCACCCCCAAACCCAAGCTCCAGGGCGCCCGGCACGTCGAGGCGGCAGCAGGCACTCACCGAGGATGCGGACCTGCGTGATGGCGCCGTGCAGGCCAAACAGCATCCAGAGTGGTTGCGAGGCGTCCACGCACAGCTGCATGCCGGCGGCCACGCCGTTGTGACTGAGGTGCAGCTCGCCGTCGGCGTTGACCACCAGACCTAGGATGTCGCCGCTGTGCAGAGGCCCGGGCACGCGGCACACGGCCCAGAACTCCTTGCGGTCCACCAGGGCCTCGGGGCTGAAGGGCAAGTCGGCTGGCCGCAACGTGCCCGGGTCGCATGTGGTGACACCGAAGGAGAGCGCACCGGGCCGCGCACCGCCGGAGCGCGTGACCTTGACGAAGATGGTCTCGGCCACGCGCACGGGCCGGCTGGTAAAGACGAGCGCACGCTCGTCGCGCCCGTGCTCCAGGCGCGCCACCGTCTGCTCGTCCAGGATGCGGACGTGCGCGCCGGCGCGCAGCGCGTGGAAACGCAGGTCGCCGTCGAGTTGCGCCGGCAGCGCGCGGCTGTGCTGGGAGTTGAGCGAGTTCTGCGGGATCGGGCCTCCGGCGGCCGGCGCGCCCTCATCCCCGTCGGCGCCCGGCAGGTTGAGGTCGCACAGGCTCACGGAGAGGCGCGCCTCGTCGGCCTCGCGCCGCAGCGACGGCCGCCGCAGGGCGGTGAAGGAGCGCGGCCTCAGGCAGTCGGGCAGCACCAGCTCACTGTCTGCGGTGGGGAGAGTGGGAGTGGGGCGCCGTCACCCGAGCGCCCTCAGAGTGCGCTGCCCCCTCCCATCCCGGCCGCCAGATGGCACAGACAACGTCCAGGGTGGGAGTTAGTGGGAGAAGGCAAGAAATGAGGCTGGACAGGGACCCCCATCCCAAGCTGTTTAGCAAAACAGTAAGACTGGAAGCACAGAGACCAAAAAGTTCAATTATATGATTACTTCCAAGTGCTAGGGAGCTAAACGCATGCTTTGCTGGTATGTATCTCAAGTTGTTTTTTTTTTAACCCTGGATCTTTTATCCCTAGCACCTGGCATCGCAAAAGGCACATCCTGTGGGCGACCACATCCTGTGGACGCGCAGAGGGAGCCCCACACAGGCCCCCCTTGGCATCGATTGCCCCCCAATCCTGACGGTTCCCTTTGGAGGAGGTTACCCTGGCCACTTAAGGACAGTATGACTGAGGGAACTTTATCCGAGAGACTCTTTTATTCCATGCAAGTAATACAACTCGTGCCTTGTAGAAAGTTCGACAGAACTACTGACGGCCGGACAGCCTGGTCCCCCACCCTCCCTGCCATGGCTGCATTTCTATTGGATAGATGACCTGCCAACCTTTTTACACGCAATTTTGGTTCCCTTTTTTTAATACTAAGATTGAGTCATGCTATATAAACACCAGTGGTTTCCAGCCTTTTACAGATAATAAATCACCTTGATGTATTACCCATAAAGACGGTGATAGCTTTGACCTGTCTCACCGCAGGGGCAGGGGAGGGAAATACCTTCTCAGTCAGTTCTGTGCATTTCAGGGAATGGGTGACTGCACCAGCCACCAGCAAGGACTCCTGACTCAGGACCTTACCACACAGCTTTCCTTTTTCACAAACTCACCTTTCCCGTATCCCAAACACCTCCCATGTCCATAACTGTGTCTACAACCACATTCTGTTCATGGCCTGCCCTCTGGAGGCTGCTAACTCAGAATGAACTAAGTGCCGCCTGCCGGGAGTCCTCCCTGGAGGTAGGCCCATGTCATAGGCAGCCGCCACAGGCAGACTCAGGATGGAAGTCAGCCCTGCCCAGTTCCCTGGACCACAACCTGCACTCCAAGGCTGTCCTGGGTTATGGAACCCCTATGGTAGTCGGGGGAAGTGGGGTGGGCAACTAGAGAAACACTGGGAGGGACAGTCTCTAAATCCTCCACTTCTGTTCTCCCCATCCGCTGCTTCTCTGTGCCTCTCAGGAGTGATGGGGTCTGCCCCCTGCACCCTCCCGACACATGCACACCCATCTTCCCCTCCAGAGAAGCCTCGTGGGGCCTGGCTGGTTGAAATTTCCTAGCATGGTGTTGGCAAGGAGGAGGGAGCCAACCAGAAAATACGATTATTCCAGGGAATTGATTCTGTGACAGCAACAGTGCAGAGATGCTGAGGGACCTGCAGACAGGCGGAGGCAGGGAGGAGCTGCCTGGCACAAGGGGCAAGGGAGGGAATAACAGCCGCCCACCTGGACCCCGGGGAGCAGCCACTGCTCTCCCACCCTCAGGGACTCCAGGCTTTGGCCCTTGGAACTCAGATGCTGGCGACAGAGAAGGTAAGTGATGTGAACAGCAGGGAAAAAAGGAATCAAGCACAACAGCCTCCAGGAACCATGTGGATCCCTACTCTCTTCCCCCCGCCACGCTCAGTTCAGGCAATGCAGAGCTGGGCACACTGTCAGGCAGAGCTCTGAAGAGGGCTGGGTAAGCTACCTTGGTCACTCTGCCCCTTCCACTAGGACATGCCCACTCTCATAAGCTCACCCACCCCAAGGTCACACTCATCTGCCTTCAAGCATTTCCTTCTCTTACCCCAGACATCAGCCCCCTGTGTTTACACCACCATCTCCTGTGCTGCCTCTGCACCCCAGGTTGAACAAAAAACCTCCCCACACACCTTCCCTCTTAGACAATGCACAGAGGCAGACGTGGGAGCCCAGATGTGCCCCGAGCAGCTCATCATCTCCCTTGATATGCACACTGTACTTCTCAAGAACCACCTTTAGGGTTCTTGGGTAATCCAAATGCATACACTTGTAAGCATTAGCCTAGATTCAAATCCTAATCCTTCCATTTCCTGTATTGCAAAGCCTTGGACAAGCAGTAGCTCCACCTGCTGAGTTCCCTCTTCTTCAAGCAGTGAAAAAAGCATTTGAGTGACATCAAATCTCTATTCTATCCCTCTGCTTAGAAGGGCAGCTGTGAAGATTAAGAATAGGGGCACACTGTAGAGTACCTGGCACACAAGAGCCCTTGGGTTACTGTAGGACGCCATAGGTATCACTTACACACCACAAGGTTCAGTGCCCCGGTGGTGATCCCAGCCTGGGCTTAAGTGTCCAATCCAGCCCTTGCTGCTGACCTTGGCTAAGCTTTCCTCCCTGTCTCACCTCGAGAACCCTAGGATGCCTTGAAATGCTGTTGCTGTGCTTGGAGTGACATGGGAAGTCCCAGGCACCTACAAGGCCCCTGGCACCCTCAGAGATTAATATTTACTTAATTGAGTCTGTTAGACTTCTCATCAGTCACAATAGGCACCCAAGAAATGCTCATGCAAGGAAATCTCTAAGACCAAAAGAAAAATCCCTTAAAAATCAAGCATAGAGGAGGAGGGAGGAAAGACAGAGGATGATGGAGAAGGGGTACAGGGAAAAACAAAACAAAACAAAACACCTTTGGTCTGGAATTGAAACATGGTAGGTGGTGGGGGCAGGGCTGGGAGCTGCTAGGGCTCAGCTAGGCACTGACTGAATTGTGAAGGTCAATGCACAGCCCAAGGTTGTCTTCCCCCAACTTCCCCTCCACCCCTTGGGGTCAGGAGCAGCTGCAGGCAGCCAACAGGCTCCAAAATAACCACCCCTCAGTGGGCCCAGCTGTGCTGAGGCCCTGAAATAGAGGCGGAAACTTGAGCTGGAGGACCTGGTCGGAGAACACTGTGCCAACGGGATCAGCAAGTTCCCGGGCGAGGGAAGCAGCACCAAGGCACAGGGAAGGGCAGGGTCCAGATGCCCAGGCCATGTGGCACAAGCTGGGGGACCAATCTCAGCTCGGGGACTTTGCCCTTGAGTCCCAAACAGTGGGGTGGCCCCACATGTAGTAGGAATGAGTGACGTGAGGGTGATGAGGACCTGTGGTTGCCCACTTTGAAGGTACTTATGATGGTGAGAGGGGACCCTAAGGCCTCCAGGCTGAGCTGGCTCCCTGCCGTGGCCCTCTTTCAGGGAGCAATGTGTTAATCTTCTGCTCCTGCCTATTTTGGTAGCTCTGCAACAATCCCTGGCCAGAGCTACAGTAACCAGCCCTCCTCCCCATACTCCCTGGCCCACTGCTTGCTCTGAGCAGGGACCAGGGAAGCCAGAAGTCAGCAGAATGGTTGAGGCTTCAGAGCAAGAAACACACCTTAGCTGCAAGCATGTTAGTACGTAGACTGAATGGGGCACCAAGAAAACACGTTTATCCTGCCCAGTACCCACTCAACCTTGGCTAGCATGCCCCTGGGGACAACAAGCTCACTACCTCCCAGGCTGCCCAGCCCATATCTTTGACTACTAGAAGGCTGTGCTCTGTGTAACTCCATCTCTCTGCATCCAAGATCCACTCTGGATCTTCGCTTGCATAGCACAAATGTGCCTTTAAGAGAAAGATCTCCAATCGGGCTGAGTCCCTGAGTTTTGTGTCCTAGAAGAGACAGGAGAGCTGGGATTGCAAACCCTTAGCAAGCACCTGGACAGCGGCTGCATGGGGCCAGCTGCTGCCTGCAATGCCAGGTCACCAAGGCAAGGCCTGGGCCCTGGCACAGGAGCCTCCTTTGAAGCGGGGCCACCACTGGGTGGGAACAGTCTTTGTTTAGATTCTCACAGCTGGAGCCCTGGGTAATCTTTAACCACGGGTCAATCTGCAGTGCCGGGTGGGCTGTCGGCTATTTGCTGGCGCCTGTTTGGAAGGCGCTGCCAGCCCATTTATTGTCTCCATAAACATATTCCTGCTGGTGTGCAGCTGGCATGGGGTAGGCAGCAGGGAGGGTGAGGGGTTCTCTACCGCTCGGGGCAGCACCCTGAAACCCACACCACCTCCGCCCAGCTCCCTCTAAACCCGTCCATGGGGAAGCTGGGAAAGACAAACACGCTGTTTGAGGCTCTCAGAGGGAAGGGCAGACTGTCTCCGAATCACCGAGATCTTCCAGCCACGCACACTTAGAGACGGGGTCATCAGGCTTAGCAGTTCTCAACCTTGTCTTCTTTAGCAGTAGATGCCTCTTATCCAAATGAGGAGCTGGCCTCTGTCAGTCCCCTGTGTTTCAGGGAGCCCTGGCCATAGAAGCACAGAGCTTGTGTGACTATCCTATCTGGACACAGCCCTGCCCGCCCCTTTCAGCTGCAGAGCTGGTTTAGGACCAGATGGTTCCTAACGCATGGTCGCTTAATGGGAGTTACACGTGGCTCCAGAACATGCATATTCACGCTGGTAGGAAAGCAGAGTGTTACCACAAAGGATGGGGAATTAAGGTCAGGCAGACCCACCTGCATCCCAGGGCCTGGCTTGGGCGCTTGCTGGGACCCCCTGGCACCCTCTGGTCCTTGGTACCCCAAGCTCTCATTCACTGCTCTAAAAGTCCCAGAAGGACGGGGTCCTCACTCTTGAGCGGTAATCAGATGTTAACTGGGAGACAAGGCAAATGCGCATCTAAGGACGCTAGAGGCCAAGTGCAGCCCTGGCTCCTGTGTTCAGATCACAGCTCCTCAAGCAGCTGTGTGACCTGGGCAAGTCACAGGGCCTCCTGGAACCACTCATTCCTTGCCTGTAAAATGGGGGTACAAGCACCTGCTCTCCTCTGAGTGGAACAGTACATGGTACGACAGCCCCTGCTAATTCTTAGACTACAGTGGATATCAGGCAGTCAGGAGAAAGGGCAGGGACAGTCAAGGAAGGCTTCTTGGTCAGGGAGGGTTTGGTGCATGATGCTGAAGCAACTGGCAGACCCTGGAGTAAGCAGAAAAGAAGTGCTTAGACTCGGAAGCCCCAAAAACGAGATGTTTTCATCAAAAAGAAAGGAAGATTGTCACAGGGGAAGAAAGGGATGGGCAGCACCAACTGTTTCCCTCATCCCTCAAGCCGGCCCATGCTCCTTTAGCTAATATTTGCCTTCTGGCCCCTAGCAATAAACCACACCAATAAATATTGGTTTAGCCCAGGAAACACAAATCCAGATGGTAGTGTGGTCCTCGGATGGGGGCTCACGTGTGCCACTGGTGCTGCCAGGCGAAGGCACACCTTGGATGGGAGGCTGGAGCCAGGCCTCCCCCACCCACTGCTAGGTCTCATCCATCACTGTCCTCTGTGGGTAGGTGGGAGTCTCGTACCAAGCCCTGAGAAACATGCATGGGGAGGGATGAAGCAGACAGCCAGGAGCCCCTGTGACCTACATATCCGGGCACTAGTTCAAGTCCCAATCCAAGTCACAGTGGCTCCACTTCCCATCCAACTTCCTGCTAATGCACCTGGGAAATAACACAAGTGCTCAGGACCCTGCACCCATGAGCAGGACTCAGAGTTCCTGGCTTCTGGTTTCAGTCTGGCCTTTATATTCACTTGGGGAGTGTACCAACCAATGGAAGATCTCTCTGTCTCTTCCTCTCTCTATTATTCTGCATTTGCAATAAATAAAACAAACTTATTTTTAAAAGTCTGAGCTCCCACCTATTGCCCTCCTGGTGCTCTGCCAGGCTTAGCCGTGATTCTTTTACTCTGCCAGCAGGGCTCCCTTGGCCCTGGGCAGGTCATCTTTCTTTTTTGCATTCCTTGCTTCCTGATTTTGAGACTCACCTGTGAAGCCCTCCTGGATTGTTTCACACACACAGTTAGTCTTACTCTTTAGATCATATTTAACTGCAGAATTGGATGCAGGCCACCTCACATCAGTTACTGAGTTCTCCTCTTCAAGGAGAATGGTTGGGTCTGCCCTTCCTTGCCTGAGGGTGAGGACTGTACCCTCCTGGGACTTTTAGAGCACGGTGAATGATACCTGAGTTGTTGGGGGCCCAGAGGAAAGGCCAACAATCCCTTAGACTTGGCATCCTGGCTGACCAGCTTTCTGCCAGGAGCCACTGGTGTTCATGTTTCTGAGTGCAGCAAGGAGACCTTGAACCCTGGGTAGGAGCTTATCTCTCCCAGTATTAATCACCCCATAAAACCTGTGTTTACTTGGTTGCTGGAGGGCCCTTCTTCCTGGAGGTTCGAAGCTGTTATTCTTAGAGACATCAGGCCAGGCTTGGGCCAGGGTAGTTGGAAGCAGCAGAAGAGGGAGGCCTGCTGAACTGCAACTTGGTGCCCAGGTCACCCACAAGACCTACAGCAGGCCTGCCAGACCACAGCTGGCACCAGTATGGGCAGGGCAGACTGGTCAGTGTCTAGAGGAGGGGAGACTCTGGCCCTGGCCATGTTCCCTCCCATCTGTCCATGGTCTAATGTGCCTACCTGCCCTGTGCACAGTGAGGCAGCCAGGATGCCTCTGGTCCAAGCAGCAGGTGCAGGCCAGAGTGAGGCGTGGAGGCCCACAAGTAGGCCTGGTTGAGAGCCCTACAGACACTGGCCTGGGACAAGCACCCCAGGAAAGACAGCACAGCCTTGACAGACAGGAACTCTGTTCAGAGGAGGGGAGGGAGGCGAAGAGAAGCAGGAGCTGGAGGGAGCAGTGGGGACAGAGGAGCAGAGGAGGAGAGAGGATAGAGAAGGGAAAAGAGATTGAGTCAAGCCCCCAAAAATACAAACACTGGGAGGTGGCGGGGCAGGAACAGGGGTGTGGGGGAGGTAAGAAAAGGCAAGAGACCCCAAGACTGTTCAGGGGCACAGAGGAAGGAGCAGAGCAGCACACCCAGTTCACACCATTCCTGGATGGGCTGGTCTTTGCCCAAAATAAATAAATAACCCATGTAGGACGGGCAAAAGGAAGAGATATTTGATCTGCTAATTCAATTTAGGGCCCATTCACAGTGTCTGCAAATGCCCAGGGTTATGGTGATCTACACCTGAGGTGGGGATCCTCCAGGCCTCAGCCACAGTGGGTGTACAGAGAGGGGCAGGCCAGGGCCGTGCACACCCATTTATAGTCAGAGAGGGGCCCTAGGCTAAGCCAGGCTCTTGGGGGTGGTCCTGCAGGCTATCCCACTTCTTCCCCACTCCCCCCATTCCCACCTGTCCTGACCCTCCTGGAACTTGCAAGCACACCCCAGGTTTTCTCTTCCAAGAAGCCCTCGTGGACACCAGCCTGCCTCACAGACCTCCACCTCCTCTGAGATTTCCTGCCTGTGATCTTGCTGCAAGGCACTGCTTTCAGCACTACGGAGTTCCCGCCTGGCCACATCCCTACTTGGGTAAACTAGGTCTTCACACTGCTCTCAGTTTTCTCCCTGCTGAAAGGGAATCAAACACACTTTCTTCCTGGCCTGCCGCCGAGGAGCCCAAGGAACTGAGTGGAAACCCTTGGTAGCTGGGAGAGCGCCTGGCAGCACAGTGGGCCAAGTTTGCCCAGCATGCCAGTTCAAGTTCATCCCCATGAACCCCAGCTGTGTGTGCGAGCAGGGCTGGGGAACCCCTCACCCCATCTCCTCCCACACGCTTATACTCCCCCAACCCACCCTGCAAACAGCGCTCAGCATCCCCACAGCCAGGCGCAAGAGCCCACTCTGGCAAGGGGCCTGCCTGGGTAAAAAAGCACACCTCCTCCTTGCAGGCCTCCAGTCTCAGCAGAGTGCAAGAGGAGGCCCCAAGACTCGTCAGTGCCCGGCCAATGAGAAGTGTGGGCCCCGCAGCAGGGGATGCAAAGGTGGACAAGAGAATCCCTCCCTGGGAGGGCCCCAGGCAGGAGGTGGCTTTTGCGCTGGGCCTTGAAGCTAGAATGGGAATGGCAAGGAGAAGAGCAAGTACACTCTCTCCACCTGTCCCACCCACCCACCCAGCACCAAGCCTGTGCCTTTCTCAAGGACACAGACATTTTCCATCCTTCACCACATGGCTGAGCCTCAGGATAAGCCAATAGACTCACAGCAGCTTACAGATGGGAAGACTGAAGATGAGACAGAAGCAGGCAGACTCAAGTTCAGACTCAAGGCGTTAGGACCCCTTGAAGCATGAGGCCTGGTGTGGCGGCGGCACCAGGACACCAGGAAGGTGCTGACTCAGACCTGGGCTGGGCACCGGGAAGCTGCCTGTCAGGGTTTACCTACTGGGCACCTGCTGAAGTAGCACCTTGAGCATGCACAAGAACCCTGGCAACAGTTAATGACGACCCCCACATCTTCCAGAGTGGCAAACGGAGATCTCACATCCTGCAGCAGGTCAGGCCGGCTCCGGCGTGCGTCCACCTCAGCACTGCCCTGCCCACCTCTGGCACGGAGTGGCCTGCAAGTGCATGGCCCTGCCTACAGGGCCATCAGCCAGCGGCCTGGGCGCCCCCGTTCAGCTGCTGACACCTGGAACAGCCTGTCTCGGGCTCCTAACACATCACTGCGACTGCAGAAGCACTTTTATTGACTTAAAAAAACAGAAAGTTCCTAAACTATTCGTTAATAAAAACAGCCTCCTGATGTTTGGAAAGGCTTCTGGTAATTATCCATTCCTTTGTACTCTCACTGTCTTCTTCCTCAAATCAAAGTGTTCTCAAGAGAAGTGTTTCTAGACGCTGAAGTAAGAGAAGAGGGAAAACAGTTTCCCAGCTGCCTTTGTGGCATTTTTCTCTGCAGGGACAAGGGATAGGGATAGGAGGGCAGGAACAGGTCAGCAGTGGCTGAGCCCACCCAGGACTGTGCTGGACAGTTTATTCACAAACCTGCTAGTTTACTCTTCCTGTTGACCCAGTCTACAGATGAGGAAGCTAGGGCTTAAGCAGGTTGGTGGCTGACTGGCTGCCTTACACCCCAAGTCCACGAATGTGCACACACATTTGGGTGCAAGGCAGAAGGCTGCTGGACTGGGCTCGGGTGGCCTGGGTGCCTGTCCTCCTCTGCTGCCCCAGCCCCATGGGAGCCTGGGATGAGTCTCCCCGCAGCTCAGCACAGCCCCAGTACTGCGGCTGGCAAGCATCACCTTCACACTGCAGGGCACCTGTGACACTCCCAGCTACACCCGCTTCTTCTATGTTTGTCTCTCACTCTCCTGCCAGAGCTGACCTGGCCAGCCCCAGTGGCGTCTTGGGAGCCACAGGAAGAGTCCTAGCCCCCCAGCACCCTCTGCTCTCCATCTGTCCTCCCAGAAAGCCTTGGAGTATTGCTGGAACACAGCCTCCTCCAACACCAGTGCCCCAGGACAGAGCTCCTGCTTCAGAGGGGCAAGACTCAGGGCTGGGTGCCGGTTCTCCTGCCTCCAGCCACAATTCCTAAACTGGAGCCTCCACCTCTGGGAGTCCAACAGTGTAACCTGTCTCCCAGGAATGCTGAGGCAGCAGACAGTAGAGCAGGATCTGGCATGGAGCAAGCATGGATCAGCTTGAATTCCTTCTGGGATGGGGGTCTTGACAGAGAAGGTTGCACTCTACTCAGAGGGGCTGCAGGGGTTCAGGAATGTCATCCACCTGCCAGAGGTGCAGGCTGGAAGGGATGGACTGGTATGGAGAGTTAGCCACACTCCACCCAGGTCCCCACGCCCAGTGGGATGGGGCAGCATCAGGCTCAGCAGCCAGAGGCCCAGGGCTGCACCCAGCACCCATGACAGGGAGGGAAAGGGGAGAGAAGAGGGGAGGGGCACTCACCCAGCAGCTGGACACCCCGCGTGAGACCGTACACGTCCACCAGGGCCCAGAGTGGATCGGCCGTGCGGACTCCGTTGAAGAAGAGCATGGCAGCGGAATCATTGATGCGGTAGAAGACGTGGCCCTTCTTGTCCACCCAGAAGGCGATGATGTTGCCCTCGTTGGCAAACTCCTCGGGCAGTGCCTTGGCCCAGAAACCACTCTGGGACACGAGGTCGGGGCAGGCATACTTAGGCAACGAGTCAGGGTGGATGCGCGAAGGGTCCTTGCTGGTGAAGCCCAGACGCAGGGCACCGCTCCAGCAGCACTGCTTCCTTGTGATCTGGTGGCACAGGATGGGGCAGTGGGCGAGGAGGGGCTCAACCCAGTGACCCCCTCCCCTGCTAGTTAGACGGGGAAGATGAGGGGCAGGGAAGCCCTTCTCTACTGACCACCTTTGGCACACTCCCAAGGGTCCCACTACCACCAGCCTTTCCCTTCCCCATCTGCTCAGGGTGGGAGAAGCACCAGTGGAAGTGGCCATGCCCCTTTCAAGTCACGCAGAGAAGGTAGAGGTGGGGTGGGAAAGGTGGGGACAGCAGGAGTGGGAGGCCCACCTTCAGCCTGACTTGCTCATAGATGAGGACAGGCCGGTTGCTGAAAGTGATGGCATTGCAGAAGCTGGCCTGCCTCTTGACGGCCTTGTGGCTGAGGTCCATGAGGATCTGGGAGCCCTTGGTGTGCGGGTGGAAGAGCAGCGGCGTGGCTGGGAGCCCCCCACCAGGCAGCGCTGGCGGACAGTGCTTCTGTTTGTGGTGGCATCTGTGAGAGGGGACCGGGAAGGGACCCCCAATGGAGTCTGGAAGGAAAAAAAAAACCCAAGCCAGAGTCAGACCTGATGAGACCAATAGCCCAACCCGTTTCCCCTAGGGCAGGGTCCCCTAAGGGCAGGGCCTGGGCATAAATAGACATGGCTCTACTGCCCATTACTTCCACACTCGTGGCCACATTCTGCCATCCTCTCCTGCTACTACGCCCTAGTCTGGCCTGGTCCTTCACCCACCACTTCCCACTTAGGTTCCCTTTACCCCATCCATATATGGCCATTTCACAGCACCATCTCCACTGGCACCCTGGCACCTCACTTTTCCCATTATTTCTTCCGTGAGCATGCAGTCCCCCTCTGCTGGGCACCCAGCTCCTTCCTAAATGCCACAGCTGCAGACAGGAAGCACTTATGGAGCCTGCCCTGTGGGAGCATGGCCCCATCCAGACAAACTGGAAGGCCTCCTGGAGAAAACACAGCAGCTCTGGCACTGGGTTGGCAAGGCCAGGCTGCAGTAGACCGTGGGGCTGTTACTGGGAGCCAGGAGGGATGGCAGGGGGGCAGTGTTCCTCTGGCCACCTGCCCACAGCCTGCCACCCAGGCCCACTGCTGTGCATCAGCCACCTGTGCCTGCAGTGTCTTGGACGTGGGATGGGAGCTCCATGCCATCCAGGACCCACCATGGAGCACCCAGCACTTCCTCCAATAACCCAGCTGGGACACACCTGGGAACACATTTGTAAATGCTCTACAAACTAGCCATGTAATGGTGGGGTGGAGGTGGCAGAAGGCGGGGAGCACAGGACTGGGTGCTCGGTGGGTTGTCACTAACTGAGTGTACAATCCCAAGATAATCACTTCCCTTCTCAGACCTCTCCCCGGAAGCACAGATACACAGCCCCACCATGGGTCTGGGAGCTCAGGCCCATCAATATTCACTTGCTTCTCCCCCCTTAGCCCTGTCCTGTCTTACATTCTCTTTTTCCTTGAAACATAAAAGGATAGAGAGAGCAAGTATTTTCATGCAGGGGTTCACTCTCCAGTGACCACAGGGCTCAGGCCTAGGCCTGGGCCAAAGCCAGGAGTAGAGGCCAAAATCAGGTGCTAGAGACTCAAGTCAGGTCTTTCATGTAGCAGGTAGGAACCCAGTGTTTGAGCCATCATCAGTGCCTTCAAGGGTCTGGCTTGGCCGGAGCTGGAGGTGGCTATGAATTCCCGGCACTCAGGTATAACACACAGGCATTTCCTTTGCTGTTAACCCACTAGGCCATACACCCACCCACCCCCTCCTGTCTTCCTAAGGAAAGAGAGCCATGGAGAATCAAAAGGAGGTGGAGGAGACAGCTACAAAATGTGACAAGAGGCCTTCTGGGATGCTTCACATTGTAGTTCTTCCAGACAGGAATTTAAGAATGCAGAGAGCTGGCTTGGCCAGCATCCGGCCTGCCCAGGGCCTCCCACTCCCTAGAATGGAGGAGGGGTTTCCAGGCAGAAGGGAGTGGGGAACGAGAGGATTGAGAAAAGCCAGGAAACTGCCACCTGCTTGGGGACAACATTGCTGCCCTTGCTTCCTCAGCGACCCCCAGGTACCAGCCGCCTCTGCCCACCGACTTAGGGGCTCTCTAGGGTAGCTGCCTACACCCCAGGTGCAGAAGTGGCATGAGAAGGAGCCTATTCATCTTTCTTTCTCTCTCTCCTCTCAAATAAAATAAGGAAATAAAATTACATTTTTTTTTTGGGTAACTAAATGAAAGGTAGGATGACAGGAGCAAACACATGAGAAAGATCTTCTACCTACTGGTTCACTTCCCAATAACCCCAATAGCCAGGCTGAGCCACAGGAGTCAGCACCATGGCTCCACTGGCTAATCCTCCACTTTTAAGTGCCAATATCCCATATGGGTAACTGATTTGTGTCCCAGAGGCTCCACTTCCCACCCAGCTCCCTGTTTGTGGCCTGGGAAAGTAGTCGAGGACAGCCCAAAGCCTTGGGCCCCTGCACCCATGTGGGAGACCCATAAGAAGCTCCTGGTTCCTGGCTTCAGATCAGCTCAGCTCTGGCCATTGCAGCCATTTGGGGAGTGACCAGCAGATGGAAGATATTTCTTGTCTCTCCTCTTCGTAAATCTGCCTTTCAAAAAACAAAAAAGGCTTGGCCAGGTGGAAGCCAGGAGCCCAGAACTCCAGCCAGGTTTCACACATGGGTAGCAGAGGCCCAAGCACCTGCTGCGTTGAAGGATGCTGAATCGAAGGAGAGCAACCAGGACTTGAACTGGCACTCCGAAATGGGAAGCGGGAGTCCTAAGTAGCAACTTAATTGGCTGCTGTGCCACAACACTCACTCCAAGAAAAACGACAAAAAGACCCACTGATGAGGGTAATATAATCTACATGGTTGAGGCATACAGCCATATACAGAGATGAAAAGTTAAAGAACAAGCTCTGTGCAGCAGACAGCAGTGAGTTAAACCCAGGTAAGAGAGCAGAGTACTCCATCCACAGCTCTTCAAACTCTCTGTCTCCTTCCACCCTGTCCTGTTTTTGGTGCTCACAAGCACGTCAGTGGTTTGCACAGGGGTGGGGAGACATAGGGGGACTAGCAAGGAGCCAAGACCACATTTGGGGTAACCACATCCACTACCTTGGATGTGGTCACGTAGATGTTAAACACATCCAATCATAAGCCTTAAGCAGGTGGGGTTCAGGACACGGCAGTAAAGCAGTTCTTTTTTTTTTTTTAAGATTTATTTTTTATTTTTATTGGAAAGTCAGACATACAGAGAGGAGGAGAGACAGAGAGGAAGATCTTCCGTCTGATGATTCACTCCCCAAGTGACCGCAACGGCCGATACTATGCCGGTCCGAAGCCAGGAGCCTCTTCCGGGTCTCCTACGCGGGTGCAGGGTCCCAAAGCTTTGGGCCGTCCTCGACTGCTTTCCCAGGCCACAGGCAGGGAGCTGGATGGGAAGAGGAGCCACCGGGATTAGAACTGGCGCCCATATGGGATCCCGGGCGTGCAAGGCGAGGACCTTAACCACTGCGCCACCGTGCCAGGCCCAGTAAAGCAGTTCTTAAGCCCCACTGGGCCCAGCTGCTGCCAAGGACCCTTCCTGGAGGGTCCCCATCCCAGAGCCCATGGGCCACCTGCAGGGCTGCAGTTCCCTTCAACTTCCTCTCATTCCCACTCTGACCTATGAAGATCTTGGATTCTGAGAAAGGTCCAGATAAACTGTGGCTCTGGGCAGATATGGTGGAGACTCCCTTGGGCCAGAGATCCAAACCCTGGAAGGACATGCCTCAGGGCCTTCCTCCCACAGGAAACACCCCAGGGTGCAGATCCTGGGAAAGTAGCAGAGATGGCTCAAATCCTTTGGCCCCTGTACCTATGTGCAAGACCTGGGAGAAGCTCCTGGCTCCTAGCATTGAACTGACTCGGCTCTGGCCACTATAGCCATATGGGGATTGAATCAGCAGATGGCAGATCTCTCTGTGTGTATCTCCTCCTCTCTGTGTGTAACTCTGCCTTTCAAATTAAAAAAAAAAAAACAAAACTACATCTTCCTTTTTAAAAATAGTCATCACTTATAAAATATAACTGAGACAAGTTTATCCAGTTACCACCTAACATCTTGTGGGGCACTCTGGGGAAACACGACATCTCTCATGATGCCACCAATACACAGAACGGCAACCCTGTCCTCAGCCCTTATGTCACTGGAAGAGACAGACCGGGCAGCCACCATGGATCGGAGTTTGGCAGTTTCTCACAAAGCCCAACACCTACCACCCCACCCAGCACATGCACTTCTGGGCATGCCCCCAAAAACAATGAACCATGTCCACAGATGACCTGAACACAATGTATAGCAGTTTTATTCACAACTGAAAACCTGGAAACTGCTCAGACGTCCTTCAGCTGGTGAATGGACACATAAAATGCAGAACAGCTACTACTACTACTCAGCGGGGAAAAAATGTACTGATCACATGGCAGAGATGAACCTCAAAAGCAGGCTGCATGAAAAAAACCAGACGCCAGAGGCCACATGCCATGTGCTCCCATGAGGGAGGACATCCTGCGAGAGGCAGGGGTCCAGAGTGCTCTCACAGGTATCAAGGGAGAAGCAGAGTGGGGACTGTAAAAGGGGTTTTGGAAGTGGAGGGAAGGTTCTTTCCAGATGGAGGAGGTGATCCCATCACACACTGGTCAAAACACACCCAACCACACAGGGCAAAAGGGAGCATTGTACTGTGTATCTCCCCAACCTCCCAGGCGACAACTCTCAAGCCAGGCCTTTATGGATAGAGGGAAGACAAGCTGGGCTCTGTGCCCACCACAGCTGCCCTGTCACCAGGCCCTAGGCAGTGCCCCAACTAGAATCTTCTCTCAGGAGTCCCCGAAGCCTGCAGGAAGAGCCTGTCACCCCAAACTTCAATCCCTCCCACATCTGTGACACCAAATGGGGTGCTCTCTTCTGGAGTGGCAGCAGGCTGGGAGCTGCAAGGCTTTTGCTTCCTGATGGCAGGGGCCTGCCAAATCCTGTGCCTGTCTTCTGCCTGTGGGTTGTCCTCAAGGTTGTGGGGGACAACCCCAGAGGCTCAGAGGCCCATCTGCAGCCCCTTCTCTCTGGGCTAAAGCTTGTTGTGTGGTCAGTGCTCTCAGGGCCACCTCACTGGTCTGCTGAACATGTCCTGCCCATGGCTTCCCCCTTCCTTGGCAGTCTCCAATTCTTCCCTTCCTGGGCTCCTGGGAGTACCTGAGCACCCTACACTTAATCTGCCAATTCTGGGAAATAAAACCCCTCCCCCAGCCCAGTTCTGCTCCTCCTATGTACCCTGCAGCCAAGACCCTAACTCAGGTCCTATTAGTTCTCTTCTGAACCAGGGCCTGGGCCATCACTGATAACCACATGTTCTATGGCCTGCACACCTCCAGGGGGTGCTGTCCTTACAACTATAATGCAAATGATGCTCTCAGAGGTGGCCAAACCACCTCCTCCACCCTAGGCGCTCTGCTTCTGATGTCTTCCTCC